TCTCCCAGCGAGAGCACCAACACTGCCGAAGTACCATGCAGGGGGAAATAGTCCTGCACCCAACACCACCACCACCCCTACCACCAACATCAACCCATCCAACCCCTCTTCCTCCTCACACAGACTATCCACCGCCATGAAGTCCTTGTTCTATCGAAAACCATCGATCACCTCCTCATCCGGCTCAAGCTTCTCCAACACATCCTCCCATTACTCCCAAACCTCATTCCATCCTACTCACACAACCGGTCCTTCCTCCTCCTCTAACAACAACAAGAAAAATACCCAGTCCTCATCCTCACGTCTACCCACCTCCTCCTCCTCGCAACGTCCAATGTCCCCAGAAACTAACCGCGATCAGCCCGAGTCTGAAATCAATCAAGACCATGATATCATCACCGACAACTGTCCGGTTTGCGTCGAAGACTTGAAGATGAACCTGATCGGCGAAAAACCATTGGTGATACCCAAGTGTGGCCATCGTTTGCGTGAGTCTCCCTTCTTCTTTTGAACCCACATAGGCCTTCTGAATGTGGGATCCTATGTAGGAGCTCAGTACACCTCGTATCAGAGACAACCCCTTTTCTCTCCGCAATTCCTTGCTCTTTAAAAGTGTATCTTCAGAATCCCTGTCGATCCAGATCGTCTTGATCCTTGGGTCGGCGTCGTCGATCTTCAAGCTTTGTTTTTCTTTTTCTAAAAAAAAAATTACATTGCCTTACATAACACGAACGGGGAATTTATCAATTCATACATACCGTCGTTTGTGATTGTAATCAACGGGTTCCTATCCTCGCGGATCTCCTTGCTTATCTTCCCCGATTCCTGCATACATCTACCCATCACATCCACGCACCCATCAATATGTGTATCACCTTTGATCAGGAAAACAGATGCTAACTTTTCTTGATCTGATTGATTGGCAGATGCTTCCTGCTTCCAGGCCGTCTACGGCTCCCTCGAAGAGGCAAGACGGACTGGCGATGTTCTAGGTCTATGCGGGATCTGTCGGAAAAAAAAAAGACTGGGTGCCTCCGGAGGTAGCTCATTCCAGCCCAAAACTTTCGATCGCAACCTTGCCGATCATTCAGCCCAGAAACGCTCCAGATCAAGTTGAGTCATCATTTCTGATGCTTTATCAGCGAAACCCTACATCATTCACTAACCCCTGGGGAATTTCTCTTAAACAGAAGTTCCTTCCTCCTCCACAGCCACCCATAAAATCCATTCGATCACACGCAAGACTTTGCCGAGTACTCCGTTCGACATAGTTGATGACGATTCGGATTTCGAAGAGGAAGCACATTTTTCAGAATCAGAGTTGGAGCGGGAGGACGAACTACTTGGCTCTTGGAATGAACTCGATCTCTCTTCTCATCAACCTCGTCTACTTCATCCTGGTGGACTCGAAAGCCTTCGAATTGAACACAAGCGCCAACAGAGTGGAAGAAGACGATCGATCGTCAAGCCAAATGTCACTGTCCTTGCCGAGAATCCCAACCTTTTCCTCAATAAAGATTCCGATAAATCTCAGCATCTCACTTGCATGGTCACCATTGAGCTCCCCAGCTTGTATGCTCCCAATCCTACCCAACCCGCATACCACTTTTCGCCTTCTTCGTCCTACCCGTCTCCGCTTTCCCCGACTGGTGTGCCCTCGAACCTGTCTTCAGATACCAATCAGCACAACAATGGGTCCTCCTTCCCCGGCAAAAGCTCATCGATCGCTCCCATGTCGCCCCCTCCTAGTGCTGTCACCCAATATGCCATGAACTCCCCGCAGGCTTCCAGCGGAAGATCCGTTCTGCTCTCGCCGTCCAGTCAGCATCAGCATGACAAAACCAGACTTCCCTCCGATCGCAACGGCTCATTGAAATCACCACTTACTCGCGACAACTCGATCACATTCATTCCCCCTCTTCCTGTTCACCATGATCATCTCCCGCCCCTGCCTGTCGACGGCCCACCAAGTCAACCCTTACAACCCGTGCTAGATGATCTCCTTGATCGGATGCAGGATTGGAAGGGTCATTCATCCAAAGACTTTGGACTCTTGAAAAAATACGATCAAATTCACGTCGAAAAGGAAGCAAACTGTCGACAATTTCTTGTGTATCTCTTCGAAGAGGCTCTTCTTTGTGTCTCTCCAGTTCGTAGGGACTCGATCACTCAAGGTTGGACTCAGCAAGATGAACACCACACCGGTAGTGTTGCCGGAGGTCCCCCATTGAAGTTGAAGGGCCGAGTTTATATTCGACATATGGATTCAGTATCGGTGATACCCAACGACCCTTTGCACGTCTATTTCCTTCGGGTGAAGATGAAGGACGAAAAAATGGACGCATTCACGATGCGATTCGAAAATTTAAATCAACTCGAAGATTGGCACTCGAACATACACTCTTTGATCCAGAAGAACAAACAAAAAACTGATCCCTCACCTCTACAAGCGCCTCTACGCATACCTGAAATTGATTACTCCGGTCCTGTTTGTATACCTTCAACGCCCCTCAGCTTACCACCGACCCCAGTAACCTGTCAACCAGGTGGACCGTCTCTCGATCGCGACTCGTTGCGGATAGCGGCTCACTCGACACGATCATCGAGGTCTGACAGTCTCCAGTCTGGTTCCGATTCGCGGAATAACGATGGCTGCACTGGGAGCTCGTTACTGTCCGGCTCAACAAAAACTAATCTGGTGACCTCGATTTCTACCCTGTCTTCAGTTGGGGAAGAGTATACCGAAGGGTGCCCGGAAAATCCAGAATTCTCTAACCCATTCCAGTCCTCTCATCCCTTCACCCATCGGGATTTGCTCTCTTTGCACATGAATCCTGCTTTTCGATCAGCGTCATTACGGCATGACTTTCGACCCATCGATCTGACCTTGGTCATCTCAATTCCATTTGCTGAACCTGCTGGATCTCCCAGCTCGTCGCCCTCAACTCTGAAACTTCGTCTCTTGAAACAATCCCTTCAGTTCGTAGTCTATCATCTGCATCCACGGTCGCGACTAAGTCTCGTAGCTTTCACGGTTGGCAGTGGCGGCAATACGAGGAGCCAAGGCCAACTTCTTTACACTCCATTCCTCACAGTCGGTAAGGCGGCGAGCCTGAAGCGGGTCGAATTTGCCATCGAACAGATCTCTCGGGCCGGCCGGACCGAAGGGATTCTGACGGCCCAAAACTGGAAGTACTTTGGGGAGGATATCGCCGTCGCTCAACAAGCCTCAGACTCGATCGGCTTTGGAACGGCTGCCCAGCAGGCTAATCCTCGGTTCATTCAGGATAAAGTGCAGAGACGGTTGAGGATGCTCGAGAGACATGAAGACAAGGTGTCTGTTGTCACTGCTGTCAATCTAGGTAGGCTTCCCTCTCTTATTTTTTTCAGAAACAAAACAAAAACATCATGCATCGTTCGAAAGCTGCACACTGACTTTACAATCCACATCTTTAGCCTATGACATGATCTTGCCTCGCAAACAGAAAAATCCTCTCAGTGGAATCATGCTCTTGAATGACTCGCGCGATTGTTCTACGAAGCCCGAGATGACGTTGGTGATGACTAGAGCTGAGGCGATTCAGTAAGTTGAAATTCTCCTTTCCGGATCAGGTGTAGGTTTGGATTTTGAATCTAATTGAACCTTTTGTTGTTTGTGGATTTCAGGATACCAATCCAGTCGATTGGATGGGGTGAGGCTCATAATCCTAGTTCGTTGTGGCAATTATCAAATCATACTGGGGGGACATACAGCTTCATTCGCGACTATCATTCCATCAAGGAGGCTATTGCTGGCTGTATAGGCGGCATGGTAAGTTGAGATATTTTGTAGCTGGTGCTTGCAAATTGATTGAGATTGTGTTTGGCTTCCCTCCCCATCAGCTCTCCGTTGGAATGTCTAATGCGCGAGTTAGTATCGGGATTGCTGAGAATAAATGGTTCAAAATGAAGAAAGTCTCGGGGATCTCCCATGTGATTTCTTCGGATGGACAGCATGCTGATCTCGAGCTGGGACAGATGAGATTCGGTGAACGAAGGGATGTGTTGGTGGAAGTCGAGATGAAATCAGCAAGAGAAGTCTACCGAACTCAGAGCCGACAATTCAACGATGGAGATCAAGCCTTGTTGGGTCTCGAGCATAACAATCAGGTCGAAACTGGTACGGATGCCTTCTTTAGGAACCAGTTGGGTGTCGAGACCAATGTCACAATGCTCGGAGATACGGATGCGTTCACGCGTTTCTATGAATCTCAATTCGATGACATGAATGATGATATCACTCTGTTCGAGGTCAATGTCTCCTATCGGGACCCTCAAGCTGGCAAAAACGTGGCCAAGCTTCCACGGCCGGCAGTCTTGATGGTAACGGTGACGCCGTCATTGGTGGACTCGACGGGGGCACTGACAGCAAATGAGCCGTCGATCGTCAAACGACGAGTTGAGCTTCTCACATCGGACTCATTGAGTCGAGTTCTCCTTCTCGTCTCACGTCGGATGGATCGCCAGGGCTTACGGTTGATGAACGAGACCCGGAGGATAGTGACGACGTTGATGACGAACCTATTCCAGATCGAGCCAACGATGGAGCAGACTGAGTTTATTGGCCGAAGGGCGTTCGGGTTGATGGAGCGGTTGATGCGACGAGGTCAGATGAAAGCGACCGCAGAGAATGTGGATGTGTTTGTGATGTTGGCGGGCTGTTTGCAAGTGCTTCAACGGATGATCGAAGGATTGGAGGAGATCGAACGCGGGCTCTCGGAGGTCTCACGACACTTGGAGGCCCAGTATCCTGTCCAACAACACCAACAAGCCAATAACCATGCGCTTCGGGCTCAGGAGGAGATGCGCAATCAGGTCTATCTGCGCTTCGAGACCGGGATGAAAAACTTTGCCGCTGAACAGTCTGGTATCCTCAGGGACCAGAAGGCCTGGCTTATCCATTCCGTTGACTCTACTGTCCAACAACAACAATCTAGATCCGCATTCATCCCTTCAACTCCTACTTCTTCCCAAAATCATCAGCTACAGCTCCACCAATCTCAGCCTTCTAAAGCCGACGATAATCAACTCTCGATCATCGAAGAGATTTACTTCAGATCAGATTACTCGATCTGGATGAAAAACATGATGGAACATTGGATGCCTGAACGGTATTGAAACTTATCTACTCAACTTCCCTTCCTACTTAGATTTTGTTTTGTTTTGTTTTTGTCTTTTGGTTTGTTTTGTTTTGTAGAGGCTTGTTTTTGTTTGTATGTGTATGTTTGCTTTAAGTTGCTTGCTTGGTTGATTGATTGTTGTATATGGGACCTACAAGAAACACATCTCATTTCCTCTCCTCCTCCTCCTCCTTTTTTTTTTCTCTCTCCCTCTGATGACAAAATTATATATATTATGGAGCTCTTGTGTCTTGTGACTTGTGATGTTTTGTCCCCTTTGTTTGTTTCTTGGTTTTTCTTTTGATCTTGATCTTTACATTGGTTTTTTTTGTGGTGGTGGTCAGCTTGGTATCTCTTTTTCTTTCTGTTGGATGCAATATACATCAATATGTTTTATACATATATATATACTTGAATACTAACAGACAGGATTGAAACAACAAAGACGTGTAAGGTGTTTAAGTTTTTGAGGGATATGCACATTAGTGAGAGGGATGAGTTAGTTTGGCACAAGAACAAGACAGTTTTTTTTGTAAGTGTGACTGTCCCATCTTGATCCTGGATCTGACAGAGGACTTCATGTGGCAACCAAGATCTGGGAGGGGTTCCAGTGGTAGAAGTGATTGATTGAGCACCTCAAAACGTGTATAGCTTTGTCTGTCCAGTTCTACTTCTACTTCAACATACACTAGCCTTTTGCACGCTCGACTGGGAATCTTCTTCTTTGCTCCAACTATGTAAAGGGCCCCAGATTCATCTCATCAGGACAATTATAACACGCCATACATCACCAGTGTGGAACACTTGGTCATCTCTAAAGATTGGCCTCTTTTATGTAATTATTTTATTTATGGGCGGCTTCTGTCATTGGATGTCGCTCAAGTTATCTTGCTCACACTCATCTCAAGTTATATCCCCTCACCTTTCTAGAGAGCTTTTCTTACAGCCCTCCCCCCCCTCTCTCTCTGTTGTATGTTCACTGCTCTATCACAATATTATTATTGCCATCTGCTCATATGAGAGCCTCATTTGCTAGAAGGCTTCTAAAAAAAGGGGGGGTTGAACAAGAATTTAGATCTTTTATATTGAACCGGGTTGAAGTGTTGTCGGGGAGGGCTGATGGTATTGCAATGTGCGGGAATTTGTCCATCCACCAGAGAGGAGTTCCGGTTGTGATCCAGAATGTTTTTTGTAGACTCTTCTCAGGTCTACATAAATTAACACTCTATATTATCGAAAGCTTGATCAGCACCTAATTTTTAACAAGGGTTCTGAAAAGACACCTTTTTTTGGACCAAGAATTAATAATATTAAGATCTTAGAGGTGTATATCAAATCCTGTGACGGTTCTGAATGTGGTTGGGAAGTCTTCCACTATCTCCAACAGCTACGTGTTTGCCTCAACACTTAGGTAGGCTCTGGGGTGATATTGATTACATAATTATGTCAAAAAAGACAAAAAAAAGATACATTTTCAAACGTGGATCCTATGCAGTATAACAGGCCCTTATCAAGATCAAAGCATTTCTTTTTGTGTTTTCATGCAATCAATCCATGTGCTTTTTGACAGATATGTAATTTGATTTTTATTTTTCAATGGGAAATTCCACAAGCTGGATATATGTCTACATAGTGCTTATTTCTGAGTCAAGCTAGAGGTGATGATTGCAATGATAAAATTGCCCATTTATCTAAGCATAGTCCCTCTCCTCAAAAAAAAAAAAAAGAAAAAAAGAAAAAAAAAAAAAAAAAACAGATAAACAATACTCCATTCCCAAACACAAATTCTGTAAAACCCTCACTCAACCTGATCAATCTAGTTGATCCAGTTCAAGGATTAAAGAACTAAGCTCTTGTTGACTGAACCAGTGTTATAGTCTCTTTAACTCTTTGCAACCTTCTTCACCTATCAAATAAGTCAAACAGCTCTTCTAAATCTGGTGGGAACCAAACTTCTTTTTTTCTTTATTTAATCTCTTTATTTTTGTCTCATGCTGATCATCTTCCATAAAATAAATTCTCTCTCTGTCTTGACTCTCTTTTAAAAAGATTTTTTAATTGTGTTTTTATTTTAGTTCTGGTCTGAAGTTTTCTAGAAATCAATCTGTTAATTTTTTGAAGTACACACTTCTAGTTTTTGTTTAACTCCTACAGTCTAGTGCTAGCATATATGTATTCAGGAAGTACATGAATAATTCTTCAATTCAGTATTGGGGATTTGAAAAACCTCTTCTGAAGGTTTTTTTATTCTGAGTTGGAAAGTGATAATTAGCTTCACATTTGATGGAAGAACAACCAATTCAAATATCAATACTCACATCTAATATGTCTGCATTGCAGCATGTATTAAGTGGCTTAGGAATGCTTGTTACTCCCTCGCAGGTCTGTTGACCATTTTTTTGCCCTTTGGGGCCAAACAGAACCGCACGGCTTGCCCAAGAAAGAGTTTAATCAAGATTTATACCAGATTAGTCATGATGATTAGTTCCAATAATTAATTATTAGATCAATCTTTATATTTATTTTCAGTATATTTAAATCATACTTACATGATGACTGTGCACCAAAGTATTTCTTCGACACACAAAATAGCATTTGAGATGGTAGTTGGCAAGGGATGTTGCCTACCGCAGCAACCAATGCTGCCACAAGCAATATCAAGGAGAGAGTTAATTGGTATGAAAGCACGACAGGGCTGGGAGGAAATGCTTCTATCAATAAATTGGGATCAATCAAGCACTAGTAAAACTTGATGAAATTTCTGTCCCATGAGATCCAAATTTGGAAGATTGATTTTGGACAAGATAGAGGATGATTTTAGAGGTTGGAAATTTATCCTGACTCTGGTTCTGAGGGAATATCAGAGGTGGATGACTGGCATGGTGGCTTTTATTATAAACGTGAATAAGATCCATAGTCAGATGTGAAATATATGATAGACACTGCCTCACAAGGACAGCATGACCACTTGGCAACCGGTTCCGGTTTCCGGTTGGATTAGAGATCGTTCGTTCGGACCTGTTGGGGGGTACCTGCCACACTTCAAAACACTCCCTCCACACCCTCAGACACCAGTGATGCTTCCAGAGGGTTCAGTAATGATGAAGGTTTAGTACTGGGCCCCCCACTGGTATTTATGGTGGCTGTTGATGTGGAGGGCTTGATCTAAAGTGTGGCAGGTACCCCCCACAGGTCCGAACAAACAATCTCTAGGTTGGATACCCTCTCAGGCTTAAAACAGGCTGTCTCTTTCCCTGGTAAATTTCAAGGTTACTTCTCTCGGTATCAGAATAAATTGAAATCTTCTCTGGGGGTCATGTCAATGTGATTAAAAGGCCCTGGCAACAGAACATGCAAATTGATTGTGGTACTGGTTAGAATTTTTTCTTTTTAGTTTGGGTTTTTGGAAGTTGAAACATTACCTGATGAACTCAAGGGAGTGGACAGTACAAAACACATGGGAGCAAAAGCACACAAGTTCAGTGTGGTGGCTGTGGCTCTCAGCAGTCAAGATAGTAGTCATTCTTGTTTTTGGGCGCCAGGGCACTGAGCAAAAAAGATGGAGTAAAATCCCTAACTGCTTCAACTGATAAATCAGTATTTTGTTTGCTTTCATCTGAAGGAAGATAGGTCTGTTATAAGTCAACCGCTTTATCTGTTCCAAACTCCCAAAAGATCCAATCGAATTTGATTGATTGATGAGTTGAAGACAAGAAATACACTTTCTCTCAAGGCTTTTTGATGTTGGTTCTTGGGGAGCTAGGGATACTTCTGGGATTAAGGACAGCCCATTTATCCATGTATGACATGATTTTGATCCTTGGTCAATGTTTCAAACATGCAAGAAAGAGATGTACTTAAGAAAATACAAGGGGCATTGGATCTGTAAATTGCAATTTCAAGCAAATTATCTCAAAACTTGATGATAATCAACAGTTTCAAGAAAGCAAAGGGCAGTCTGACTCTACATACTCACAAGAATCCTCAGCCAATTCTTGGAATCTATAGTACACTGCTTGTGGATGTGAAATCAAGCCATCCAGCATCTATGGCTGATATTAAACATTTTTCCACAGATATTTATTTCAGTGGAATCTAATGTTTAATGTGATACAGGATGAAATGATTCTAACTCTAGACATATCAGCTAAATGTTACACATGTTTTTTAATATGATATCTCTGTAACCTATGTATTTGTAGTTAACTGCTACGTCAAGTATAAGGATTCAGAATACGCAATGATACTTCTTCTGGAAATCAGATTTGGGAACTTTAAACGCATTTCCTGCGGATTTATTCACCTGAGATTTGATGAACAGAAGTGAAGAATGGAAGAACTGAGCTCAACGAAGTACGCAAGACGAGATTTTCCCAAACAGTGTGGATGCGTACCTCTTTAATTGCTGGATCACAGCAAGCATCGACTGGATTGGCAATGATATTTACTCCTTGGCAGGTGGCCAGTCCCGTCTTCGTGTTTACTGGGGCGGAACAGACGCTGACAGCAGCTTGAAGCGGAACCCGGATGAAGCATCATGCCATGAGATGGGTGATCAGCTCAATTCTAGCATCTCAAATCGTGATTGTAGTACATATTTATTTGAATAGCTCAACTGAGACTCACTTGAAGAGCGTGAACCGATGTCCGTCTTGGAGACGCAAAACGGGACTTTCGAGCCTAGCCCGACGCAGGGGTTGGCCTGGCCGGCCACCGAATGGGCTACCATCAACACATAATATGTGTGGAGCAATTGGTAGTATGAAAGCATGATAGTTCTGGATCTCGAAGTCTTTCCTATCTTAATCAAGGAGAACAATCTCCAGAGCTTCACAATCTGAAATTTTGAAGACAAAAATGCCGTTGGACGAGATCTTTATAATCCTGTATGGGCTTATTTGGATGGGATGCTTTAGAGGTGATGGAGGAAGATGGACAGCGATCAGGGACAAAGAAGGAGAGCTTTCTATAGCCGTGACACCAAGAAGCACACACTACCCAGCCGGACGATATTCGGAAATCTGGTCCAGACGAACACACACACACCGCCGCCTCGAACATGAATCGTGAGGCGACCGGCGCCGGTCTCAGCGGTGCAAAAAAAAGCGCTCATGAAGACGACGGCGGGGAAGAAGCACTGCAAGTGAATGGCGAAGTCGAAGGAGACAAGGGGTGGCCAGACACACTGCGTCATAATATAATATATATCTCGAGTCCAGCTCGAGATCGCTCTCGGCGACCGTTCTCGGGAGTCGCAATGTTCACAATCAAGTCGCATGAGCTCCGGGGATCATTAAGCCGCCGGGCAAGGTGGAGACACTGCCCCTTGCGAGAGTGTGCCTCATGCTCTTTGGTCCACCTCGAGATCGCTCTCTCGGTTACATACTGTCCTCGGAATGTTTTACAATCAAGTGTCATAGTCGCCGGGTATCATTACGACCTCGACAACAGGACGCACGAGTCGAGTGTATACATAGCACAATTAGGATTGGGAGGTGCTTTAGTTTGGCTGTTTGCCGGCAGAGCATGATCTGTTGAAAGTCGAAGGAAGCACTGCATAAACAGATTGTAAATACTCGCGAGGCCGCTGTGCAGTGTGGTCTTTGTGGCCCGCCCTCGGAAGTTAAGTAAGTAGTCATTTTTTTTTTTCGAGCACCAGCTGGGCGGTGTTGGAAACGGAAACATTGCAGCGCCGCCTGGCCCGTCGTTCTCTTGACGAGCTCACAGAACCGGATAGGACCGACGACCTTTCAAGCTCTTCTTAGAAAAATAAACACAACACCTCATGAGAAACCTGATGTCTCGCAATACTTGATCTGGTTTCAGCCGCTGTGAATCCATCGTGTTGACATTCATATTGCTTGTTCAGAAAGTCAAGACAATTTTTTATTTAGTCACAGGAAAAGAAACCCGTACAGATTATAGATGTAGAATGGGAAAAAAACCCATAGAACCCCCCCAAAAAAAAGAAAAGGACATTTGATGATGCTAGTGAATCGAACAGACCATAACCCAAACGAAAAAAAAAGAATAAGAATCTCTATATGTTGAAGTGATGTGGGTGAAAAGGATATACATGCTTGTGCGTGTGACGGTTGAGGAGATGATTCCGAGCAGAGAGATCGGTGATATAACGTAGAAAAAAAAGAAAGGATGATGGAGAAGAAGAAGAAGAAGGGATGGAGAGAATGGGGGCCTTGATCAAGCTTCATTTTCTTCTTGGTCGATCAGGTCCATGTCTAAAGGATACGTCAAAATGGCCGCGACTCCAGTCAACTCATTCAATCCTTTTGAGTTTGTTTACAAGAGAAGATGTCCAATCAAATTGATCAGATGAAGCAGAAACAATCGATTAGTCACCCAGTCTTCCTTTACGCAGGAGAAGATGGAACGAAATCCAAAAAAAAAAAAAATGCGAAGAAGAAAGGGATTTTTTTTTTTAAAAAAAAGCTTGGGGTGAACTCAACTTGTACCAGTAGAATGCATGCTCGAAAAAACTAAAACTTCGCCGCCGAATTGCTGAACGCTTTCGGTCAACTTGATGAACTTTTTACGTTTTTCAGGGTCTGGATTCCTACCAACCCAAAATAATAATAAAAAACCAATGAAATTAAATCCAATGTGGAATTGTTAATTTTGTCCCCAAAAAAAAAGAAGATAGAGTGTACCTAAACAAAGAATCGGAGATGAGTAGGGAGCCGATAGCAGCTCGTTCAGCGGCCCGATCGACATGCACTTCGCCATACAGAGCCCTCTGCACATCTTCTTCCAACATCTTCTGGAACTTGTTCAACGCCTGGATCTCTTTCGAGTATTTCGTATCTTTCAACTGGTTCAGGATTTCTGGGGTGCTCAGGATTTGGTTCAGGGATTGCAGATGGATCGTCGGGGTATAGATCCGTTGGAACTTCGACTTGGATGTGATGATCGCTTTGTTATTGGCTTTCTATTGATGACGAGTTACAAAACAAGAAGCAAACAAAGAACTCTTGAGATTGCATCTTCGCAAGGGTTGATAAGATCCATTTCCTATTTTTCAGGATGAGGAAAGGAGAAGACTTACGATTGCTTGTGCGAGAATCGCTTCAAACACAGTGTCCTTGGTATTGCCGGGACTAGCGATGATGACCATTCGAAGGAGCGAGAAATTGAAGTGTTTGAGGATCGAATCATAGATCTGTTTGTGAAATTTATCGAGGGTTTTATCGGCAGCCTGACCGGGTTTCTTATTCTTGGAGAGAGGGACTTCGATGCGTTGTTTGATGAGGGTGGTATGCGTTCCGATCAAGCAGACGGTCGCTCGACCGGTATCGTCGGCAAGGATGGCGGCCACCTCGGCAGATTTGGAGGCGTCGGTGGCGTCGGCCAGACGTTGGACATGCACCGAGTCCCATCCATCGGGACCCTTGATGATCGTGAATTCGCGCTCGGGCTCGAGATCGAGGGTGTGGAATGCGCCCATCTTGACGTGCTCGTTTGGTTTGGAGATTTGGCCGGAGAGATGTAAGGAGGCGCCACCCGACGACGAGCTGCCGGTCGGCTGATTGGCTATCGAAAGTCCCTTCTCGTTCCCGTCACCCGACGAGGGGATCTCGACCCCAGAATAGTTCACTTTCTTCACTTCGATTGTCAAGTTCAATTTGACTCGATGCGAATCCTTGGAACCGGTTGCTGAATTCGTCTCGACTACAATCTTCCTAACGGCGATTGATCTGACTTCATCACCCTAGATGTTGTGAACCAATTAACATGTCAAAGATTGATTCCTCGGTATATGAAATTAGACCAGAAACGAACCACTGTGACTAAGTTATAGGCATGCCACATGTCTTCATCATTTTCAGCTTTCAGAGTCACAAAGCCAGACTTGTTTTTCTCGATCTGAGTTCGAATTTGCTTCATTGTTTAGTTTCAGTTGAGGTCTTCTTTCTTGTTTTCCCTAATAGATTGTAGGATGTTTTTTCTTTCTTTTTTTTCAATGTGTGGAGATTTATTGACACCCGAAATGGAAGTGGAATCGGTTGCGGCTGAGTGGGCTATAGCAGCAGATTAACTAGTTAGTCTCGGGAAGGATGCGCTGGTATGAGGCTGTGATGAGGGTAATTAGATCGACGAACCTTTTTTCTTGAGATGTGTATATACTATGTGATCTTATGAAATGAGGTGAGTGTGGTTCGATTGGGGAGATGGTTCGATAGCATCTGTTCGGTGTTTTCCTTCTTGAAGGTGTTTTCCTTGTCTTGGTTTGGGTGTTTGGTTGTTGTTGGTCAAGAGAGAGAGAGAGAGAGAGTGGGTTGGTGGGCACTGGGAGAGTACAAAGGGGGGAATCAAAACAACCACCCATCGGAGAGGGGGCTCCAGCTTGGCCCCCCGCCCCACCCCGCAGTATGTAAGGGCAGCACTGTTCTCTGATCACAGCTTTCAAATTCCAGTGACGTCAGAAGTGATCACTGCGAATGGGATTGCGATGACAGCAGCCCAGCTCAACAAGGATATTCTAGACTACATATTCAAGCCAAAAGTGATACATCATATAATCAACGTGATAGGAACCCATCGAAGAATAGCACAAAAGTAAACAGGCTCAAGACCAGGCAAGTCGCCGTAATCATAAAGCCAGAAAAGCTATAGAGAAAGTGGTTCCGATTCAAATGTTCAAAGGAGGAGTATACATAATCAGTCTTGATTGTATATTGTGGACATCGATTGTTGTATGGTTTTGGTGTGGTAAAGGAAAAACTCACAATCCAGTTTGAACAAATCCTCTCTTCATAGACATCGCATGATGAGTAGAAAGATATTCAAAAAAACCCAACAAGGGCAAGAGGACCGATAACACAAGAAAAGTTACAGCAAACTTCATACGAACGAGTTAGCTTCATAAAAACACGCTGAAGGAAACGAGAGAGAGAGAAAGAAGAGTATGTACCGGGTTTAAATGTTGTCTATGGTGGTGATTATTCTTCTGAGTTTCATCATCATGGTCATCAAAGTCGAACGGAAAACTGATACAGGTAGCCAGAGAGACCAACACCAACAAGGTACTCAACCTGATCTACAAGGAGATCGAAGGAGACACGTACACATATTTATAAACCAACAAAAGAAGAACAGAAAAAAAAAATCAACCGAACAGATAGTTGTGAGCAAAAAAAGATGAGAAAAAAAAAAAAAAGAACCCATTGCATCCAGGTCCTGTCTCTACCCAAATGGTCCCGGGCAGTCGAGCCCTCGTTAGGAATGACCAACGGCGAACCGAAGCAGGAGCTGATGATTCCTGAGGCTGAGATCGGATGAACTGGGCTCGGATTCAGATGGGTTGCAGCTGAGTGGCTCTGAGCTTCACGGTTCATGTTGAGGTTGTTGATACAAGATGAGTGTGCTCATATCCAAAGCTTGGCTGGCATTGTCGATGCGCGGGCTATCGATTCCGTCGAGAGGACCCTAACACATACATACATAATCTGCTGTCTGTCTGTATGTAGTGCTGACGTCGATGATCCATATCGCGCCAAGTGCCCAAGCTGCGAAACAAACAACTTCCGGGAATCCGGCTTCCAAAGTGCCACGAGGCAGGATGGCCGGGGTTGGCAGAAGACTCCGATTCGGCGGATGCATTCAGCCCGGCTCCGGGCCTGTCACAGCAGTTTCACCAGGACTCTGTGACTGGTGATGCCCCCTTTCACACATCATGAAGCATTCAAGCCAGGCAGAATCCGACAACAATGCCTTCTTGGAGCTGTGCCATCCCTGTATCTACATAGGCTTCCTTCAACCCCCTTTGTTATTAAATAATAATATCCATCATAGAAAACACTTTCTCAACACACCTTCGGCTTTCTAGGACTGTTCTTCCACTACCACACAACATCAGGATAGTATCATATTCCTACGAGGTACGGGGTTCCATGCTTTCACAGTTTCATTCCTCCTGGAGGCTCTGACACCTCTTCTTCTTGGTCCCCCTTCTCAGCATCCAGATCATGTCAAATAGCTCCCAGTCCGGCCAAACTGTATCTCAGGGGGGATTACCTGCACCACGACAAGGAAGACGGGGCCGAAATTTTGGGGCTCTACTTACGACCCCGGATGCCGCAGATTCTACAACAACAACAGCAGCAACCAAGTCCGCAAGACAATCCTCCAATACCACTGCTTCTGAAGCACCAACCAAGAAGAACGCAGGGTGAGTCATCCATATATATTTATTTACAAAACTTCAGGGGACCATCTCGGCTCAAAGAGAAAAGCTGGATTGTTGATTTGGTTGTTTGTGTTGTTTGTTGTATGATACATGATCTTTAGGCTTCAATCCAACAAGTCTACCCAGGCGAGGAAGAAAGACGCACCTCCCCACCAGAAACACTCGATCGCCGCCCCGCAAACCCAAGACTCAAGAAGTGCGACTGAAGTGACTCGGCCCAGCCCACAGCCATCCCTTGCAACCATCCCTCCAAGCCAATCTCTCATCAAACAATCCAGTCCAGCTAGCGGTCCCGCCGAGGGTGGAGAGACTTGCTTGATTTGCGCCGAGCCGATCAAGTACTTCGCCCTCGGTTCCTGTTCTCATCCCACCTGTCATATCTGTGCGATTCGGATGAGGGCACTCTACAAGAAGCGCGATTGTGCGTTATGTAAGGTATATATGTGTACAGCCAGTTCTGATCATCGAGATGGCTTACAGTAACTGATCAAATAGCCAATTTTCTTAAATTCGATCGAAATAATCCTCAGACCGAGTTGAGTGACGTCATCATCACCAGCAATCACCAGGCGAATTTCACGAGTTATGATCTCTCGACCTTCAAGTTCAAGGACCCCCATCTATCGGTTTATTGCGAGACGTTTGAGCAGTTGGACGAATTACTGGCTTATCTGAGGTTCAACTGTCCCCATCCGGACTGTTCGAGCGTGCTTAGTAACTGGAATGACCTCAAGTTTCATACCCGGACTGCCCACCATGGCCTCACCCTCTGCGATCTCTGCTGTTCGAACAAGAAGGTCTTTGCCCACGAACACACCCTCTTTACCACCAAGGGCATCACCGTTCATATGAACCAGGGCTCCGTCGGAATCGGGAGAGGCCTTCGCCGGGCCAGACTCATGGCCGACGAGGGTCCAGGCACAGGGAATGAGGATGATGATGGCTTCAAGGGGCATCCTCGTTGCGGGTTCTGTAGTGTTTACTACTACGACGACGACCAACTCTATCAGCACTGTCGAGATAAACATGAACAGTGCTTCATCTGTGTTCGCAATGGGGTTGGCCGATGGCAGTATTATCTGGATTACAAACATTTGGTGAGCATCAAGTTTGATCACTTTTGCTAATTCAAAAATATAACATATATCTAACTTGATACACACTGATTTACTCTGAAGGAAAGTCATTTTCGTGATGATCACTACCTGTGTAGTCAAGCGACATGTTTGCAGGCCAGATTTGTGGTATATGAAACTGCCGTGGAACTCCAAACACATCAGATCGAGGCACATGGGGCCGAAATGGGTGTGAAAGCTATCAAAGATGCTCGAAAGCTGGAGACCAATTTCGTCTATTTGGGTGGCCAGGAGCAACACTCACAGATGCACAGCAACCGACCGGCAACAACAACAACAACACGGGACCAACGGGCTGGGCGGGGGATAGCGGTCATGGATATCCCTCCTATCAGCGGCGAGGGATCGACGACCCTGTCGAACGCTAATCGGATCGTCCCCGGTCTGGCACCCAATCCTGGAAGAAGTAATAGCAGCAAGCCTCACAAAGGCAAATCGAAGTCCGCCCCGACAACTGAAGCTGAAGACTCTAGCCATCAATCTTCTAGCAATCTTGAAAACGTAAACGAAGGCGGCAGTAGTTCTTCCACTAAATATGACCAGCAACGTCATGCGGTGCTCATGCAACGGGTCAGTGAGGCTGTGAATGGCGCGGAAGCCAAAACGACATCCTTCAAAGTTGCTGGTGAGTACTGATCCACCTATTTCATCTGTTATACTATCCCCCCCAAGTGCTGATTATCGTGATGGTCGATCAAACAATCAGTCAGGACATACCGAAACAACGAGATGGCAGCCCCGGACTTCATCGATACCCTCTGCAACATATTCGATCATCGGTCTGAGACGATCGGGCCGATCCTCAGTCACCTGTTAGACCTACTGGATGTGGCGGATGATCGGAAAAGCCAACTGGCAGAAAGATGGCTGAGCCTAAAACTTGATGTACGTTAAATTGTTTATACCGTGCTCCCTTTCATTTCACATCAGGTTTCTCAAAGCGTTTCTTCGCACTCTCCAGCAAACTCAATATCCGTCTCTTGATGGCAACTCTTCTGCAAAAGGGCCCCAATCGAGCTTCCAATCATCCAGTCATTCTGGGCCGGCTTTGGGGTCGCTCCAGACCTCTTCGTGGATCCGTCAGCAACCGCGTTATTCGAAGTTGGTCGACAAATCCGCCCGCAGTCACAATCATCGGGAGGTCCCAGGCCTGGTGCCCAAGAAACTCAAATCTGGAGCCAACAAGTCTACCCCCTGGGCCTCGGGCTCGAGCACCACACCCAGTTCGTCCATCTTGATCATTCTCTTTCTCTCATAAGATGCTCACTTGATACACTATCATAGGTACTCGTGTGAATACTTTTCCAGTCACCACATCCACCAAGACTCAGCAGTCCAACAATACTGCACGCCCAGGCGCACCGAAGGCAGCGACGCCAGGGCCCGGGCCGTCGGGTGCCCAGAACGCGCATTTTCCCAGCTTGCCGACGAAGCCAATCGCGCCGGCGAAGGCCGGCTGGAAGCCGAGCACCAACGGGACTACTAGTGGCACTAGTAGTGGCGCCCAATGGGTCGCTCAGGGTAGTACGCAGATGCCTCTTCCTGGCGCATCGACTCATGCTGGTGGGGGGAATAAGAAGTCTAAGAAGATCGTCTTGTTCACTAATTCGCGTGCTTGATCTCTCTCTCGCTTTGTGTGTGTGTGGATCTTGAGTGAGGCCCCGTAAGATTGATTATAACATGGTGTCTTAATTGTCGTCGTACTCTTTTGTTCTTCATCCTTGGTACTTAGTGTGTCCAGCCAGAGCTTCAGGATCAGAATTGTTTTGTCCATTCACTCGTCAAGTCAACTCCCTCATTATCATCATCGTCGTCTTAGATGCAGATTTCGTCGCTTCTACACCCGGCTGACTGGCTTCCCATCACTATCATGATCGTGTAGCACTTTATATAACTCATAGATAGACTTGCTTCGCCCTTTTCCTTTTCTCTTTATGTATATATATATGTGTGTGTGTATTTAGATCTTTACATACCATTCAGTGTTTTTTTTCTTTCTTTAATTTAATGCGTTCTTTAATTTTGAATACATCTTCCTATCCTTGTTGCGACAATGAATGCAGAGAGTGAGATACATATGTGTGGATGTCAGTGGATCTGTTTTTTTGTTTTTTTTGTCTGGTCTTGGTTTCTTGAGCTTTATTTGAATGTGGTGTCTTAGGGAATGTTCAGGTGTCTTTGGGCTTGTGTAGCCAGCCAGCCAGTCATGGGCTTGTCAATCGTAGGCCTGTTTGTATAAAGAGAAGTTCCAGCGACATGGTCCAGATGATGATGATGATGATGATGAGGTCACAGAACTATGTGAATGAGATGACTGTCAGCTGTTGCTGCTCTCCACTCCCGTGTCTCAAGGTAGCAACACTCTCCCATCAAAAAAAAAAAAAAAGTAGAACTGCAAACAGTTTCAAGATCCAACAAACACATCCTCAGAAACTGTCCATTCAACAGCAGTTTCATCACTCTGGCTCAAACAACACCCTCAAACAACACTCCCCCCCAATAAAAAAAAACATGTCTGATCAGCTTCCTCCGGGTCCACCCTGGCATCACCCACCCCATCAGAACCAGCCCAGCGGCTCGCATATCATCCATATCATCTCTTCCTCCTCTACCCTCCAAGAAGAAGAAGAAGAAGGAGCTGACATTCGATTATCCAAGTCCTATCCTTTCTGCGCTGATCCGTTGATTGAAAAGAAGAAGAAGAAGAACGAGCAGCAGCAGAGCGAGAACGCGGGCGAGATGATGATGAGTGTGTTGATGACGACGATCCGGGGGAGGAGGGTTCAGTGGCTCTGCAACTGGCTCGGCTCGCTCGTCCTGGCCGCCATCCTCATCCTGTCCCTCTCCCGTCCTCTCGGCCGGGCCTCCCCCTTCCTCCCTCCTAACACTCCTTCCCCTGCTTCTTCTGCGCCACAACAACTCAACCCCGACGTCCGCTTCCAGATCGGCTTTCAGACTCATTCTTCCTCCTCTTCCTCCCCGGCTTCCGACCCCGATCTCTCTTCTTCAACCGCTCCGACAAATCAGATCGCCCCTCCTCTCACCTCGCCCCCCCTAGTCTTCTCTCATGATCAAGCCGACGAAATCGCTCGTAGGATCTTCAACGCCGCTCCTGTCTTGGGTAGGCTTTATATTCATCCATTTTCTTTTCCTTCTTTTTTTTTCTTAGAAAGAGGAAATCTTGTCTTTCTTTCTCTCATCAATCAAACGAGAAAACCGGAAAAAGCGTACCCGAAAACGACAGATTGATTGAACTAATCTCAAGACAATAATAAAGCACCATATAGATAATAAAAAAAAACACACATATATTGACGAGAAAAAGGGGGAAATCAATGATGAGATTTTGGAAAAAAAAAAGAAGAAGAAGAGGAGCTGACAGCTGTATGATATTGGACAGGATACTATGAGCAGTCGAACGGCAGACTATCGAACTGGATGGCCAACGTAGCCGACGGAGTCGCGATCACGAGCATGTCGATCCCGGGCACCCATGATGCAGCCACCTGTCAGTTCAACCCTTTCTTTCTCTTTTTTTTATTTGAATCCAAATTGATCTCTTTTTTGGGGGAATAAATATACAGGGAATTACACGCAAGCTACTCAAGACTATCTGGAACCAGTCACCGGAAAGTTGCCGCCGGCCATTGCCTTCCAATGCCAAGTACCTACGTCCCACACTCACATACCCCCCCCCCCCCAAAAAAAAAGAAGGTTAATTATGGAGCTGATTGAGAATGATGCCCATGGCTTGTTTTTTTTTTTTGGGTATGAAATAGGATCGTAGTTTGTTTCAGATGTTGGGCGATGGGATCCGGTTTTTCGACTTGAGAGTAGGCTTCTTACCGGACCACCAACAGCTAGGATTTTACCATGGTAGGTAACGCAAGCCATCCTAACACCAGATAGCAGAAGACGAAGCATTAATCGAGGCATTTCTTTTTTTGTTTTCTGTACACAGCTTCTGCGCTTTTGAGCACGACAGCAACGCTCCCGGATGTCTTGTTGGGCTTCTACAAATGGCTGGACGAGCATCCGACTGAGACCGTGCTCATGTCCATCAAGGTCGACAATGCCACCTTCGGCAACCCACCCTCGCCCGGCCAACCCTCGAGTAAAACGCTCCAACTCATGCTCTATCAGCTCTTGACTCAGTCCCAATTGGCCCGGGATCATTGGTTACAGGAAGATTCTAAGGTTCGCTTTCGGGTTGAATTTTCGATTGATGACTGAACGATTCGAATAGATCGAAACCATTTTATTCAAGTTAAGCTAAGGGCTCATTCACCGGGGGGTTTTTTTCTATGTTTCTTTTAACAGCTTGGAACATTAGGAGAAGCGCGAGGCAAGCTGATCTTTATCCAACGGATAGACTGGTCGGAGATCCGATCCCGACGGGAGGACTATACGCCGATCGGGATCCCGCTGCCGCCCCAGCAGTTCAACGACAACGACCCGGACTTCTCGATCCTCTACAATCCTGTCGACCGGGCCTCCGCCTATGTCGAAGACTTCTACAACATCCTCCCCAATCCTTCGCCCATCCTTGACAAATTCAACCGCAAGTTCGACGCCGTTCAGAACCATTTGAGCTTGGCTGCTGCCCTCAATCCTCAAACCGTCGACCAGCTCTTCATCACTTTCGCTAGCGGCGGCGCGCTCCTTAACTCGCCCCCCGTCACGCCTAAGGTAAACATCCCAACACGTTTCACTTAACCCCTCCTCCTCCTTCTCGGGTCGTTCATTTTCATAAGCTAAATGATCTTTCCTCTTCCGTCTCCTTGATCTCCGATGATGGAAACAGATGTTAGCGATCGGAACCGGCGAAGGCGCGAGTCTGAAGAACTCCGTCAACGGCCGGATCGAGGCGTTGATCCAAGAGCAATACAGCAATGGAGCCAATGATCCGAACAACAACGGACAAGCTCCTCAGAGATTGGGCATCCTGATCTTCGACTGGTATCATCAGCTACCTAACCTCGTCCAATCCGTCATCAATCAGAATCCATTCTCTCCTCCTCCTCCTTCTTCTTCTCCTTCTTCTACTGACGATTACTCCAATTATGGGCCTTGAGTTCACAGATCTTCCCTATTCAACCATCCACTCAAAGACCTTTTGAACTTTTTTTTTTGGTTTCTTTTTTTTGGAGTGTTCACTCTTCTTTTTGAGGGGGGGGGTTTTCGATCCCATATAGATGCTCCTCTCCAGACGATGATCCTGCTCCTTTTATAATCTCCCCTTCATATCACCACCATCACCATCAGTCTCTCTCTTTCCTTCCTTCCTCCTTCTACAGACCCCACCCCCCCCAAAAAAAAAGAAACACATCTTCCAAGCCTCCTCCCTTTCCCCTTTTTTTTATTGTAGCTGCTGAAACAAGACCATTCGGTTTCAATCATTAATACTTAAAGCTCCCTATGATCCGGGGTTTTCCTTTTTAAAAAAAAAAAAAATATGATGTATCAGATGGAACACTTTGTCTTTCTTCACTCTTCCTCCGAATACACAACGTAGATATCCTTAGATACACTCCATACTAAATACTTATATATAATACTTGATACTTACGTCACTTCTTCAACTTAATTCGCTTTTTTTTTGTTTTGCTACGTTCAGATATCTACCGTATTTTTGGTTGGTTGGGTGGATGGATGAGTGATTGTGATTGTGATTCGGACGAATGAGATGAACACGCCCGTGCACATATATACCTGTGGTTTTTTTGTTTTTGTTTTGGTGGGTGGGTGGAAGGGTATCGAAAATGACGGGTGATTGAGGTGTGTCATGTGGATGAACGGAGTGCGAATGACAGTGAAGGGATGGACCATCCCCCAAACAATCCCCAAGATCTTCTGGATCCGTTGAATGAGGTAATGACATGCCATGCACGGGTCAAGTGTTCTTCTTCATCCAACCCTTCCGGAGCGTTCGGCAGTCGTTGCTTCAACAGTCTTACGCGCCATCCATCTCTCCGCCATCCCTCAACTTACATACTTGATAGGAAAAAAAAAAAGCAGAAGAGGCTGACAGCCCGTCCCTCGAATAACGGATGTCTTGTTGAGGAAACCATGTGCCATCTATCTGGGCATTGATCAGCCAGTTCACATTGAGACGCTCTTGACTATGTAGTGCACAGCTCCTCCATGTGGACTCGATTGGATGGACGATCCAACCATCACAACGTTGATCTCATTACAAACACACATACAAATGAGATGGAAGGGGCGATTTGGGTATTTTTGTTTGGCTGATTTCAGGAACACATCATGAGGTCAACATTGGAATACAAGATAGATAATGGAAGTAAGGGGGAGAGAGAGAAGTGAAGTCTAGGATATTATAAGAGTGGGTGAGAGTTAATGACCGTTTGTGGGGTTTTTGAGGGATTTGACGAGGCCGTCGACGGTGAGCAAACCTTGACCGAGTTGGTTATTGAGCACTTGAGGGCCATCGCCGACTTGGGTATGAATCAACCTACTGATACTTCCTTGCTTCCAAACAGGAGAGATGTTGTGGTTGAAGTGGATTGGTAACGCGAGTTGGCCGGGGGTCTCTTTGGAGAGATCGAAGTAGGCCTTAGGGTCTGTGAACGGGTCCGAGTCGGGCAGAGGGAAGTAGTGGAGGATGAGGTTGAGGAGTTTGCGCATGTTCCTCTTGGGGGCATAGATCACCGCATTGGGGCCGGCGTCGAAGGTGTAAGCGGCGAGACAACCGTCGCCTTCGGCCTTGGAGGCTCGATTGAGCTCTTCGATGACAGCGATGATGGAGCGGGAGACGTCGTTGAGATAGAAGATCGGCGGCTGAGTGTCGAGACAGACGGCATGGAATTGGTTGGAATCGGCCATCGTGAGTGCGGCGAAGCTGTCGAAGTCTTTCTGCTTGATCGCCGACTTCATCCGCTTCATCCGTTCAGGCACCACCTTCTCGATCCGGTGTTGCAGCAATTCGCTCGTCTGGACACTCCCATCCATCCCGCTCGTCGAGCTCGTCCCTTTCTTCCGATCACTCACCACACAGATCAAGGCTTCCAAGTCCGGCCAATCCGACCGTTCGGCTACCGACACCGCCATCGAGTCCGACCCGTCACTCGCAGCCCCCATCTCCCAGGAGACAAACCCCCCAAAGATCGACCGACACGCCGAGCCCGATCCTTGTCGGGCTATCTTCGAGAGCTCCGTCATCTCGATCGGCAGCTCGTATAACTTGCTGATCGTGTACACTAGCGCTGCAAAGCCAGAGGCTGAAGAGGCAAGACCGGCGGCCGTTGGGAAGTTGTTCTCGGATGCTATTAAGAGCGCCCGTCGTGACTCTGGCTAAGAAAAAGACAGTTGCATAATCAAGTGTCAGTCTTGTTGTCTCAATACAAGGAAGAGCCAGGACTGTGAAAGGGGTTGTTTTTTTTGTTTTTTTTTTTCTACAAAAGAACTGAGAAACGGGAGAAAAAACCACTGACCAAAGAAGCCTCAGTTTTCGGCTGCTGGAGTTCGAAGTGGGCCTTCAGCTTGCGAAGCTCCTTCAAGCAATTGCTCAATCGCGAGTCTTTCTCGATCGGTTGCCGGGCGCCATTCAGCCAGAGTTGGTCCTCCTCCTCCTCTCCGACCTGGCCATTCTTATGGCTGGGCTCTAGTAATCTGGCGGTCGTGGTGGAGCGGAGATCGTGTTGGTCGAGGGTGACTGAGAGGGACGAATTCGTCGGCAGGATCAACTTCTTGTCTCGTTTTCCCCAATACTTTATTACTGCTATGTTCACCTGTTTTTTTTTGTTTTTTGGTGGGAGGAATGAGGGTATTTTTTTGTCAGTGATTCGGTCCTTATCTCTTCTTTATAGACTGGTTGTGGATGCGACTTACTGGAGCACTGCAAGTGATTTCCTTGACCATGTTGGTATAAGAATTTCTATAAAAACCAATCTTCCCTTTTTTTCTTTCGTCTTTGTGATCGGATCTACTATGAATGCACGAATCAATACATAATAATGAGTGAGTCAGTTCCAGGGAGAAGAAAAGGAGCGATGAGAGCGACGAGGACTTACGGAGAGAATGGATGAAGGAATGACTGTGGGGCTCTTTGGGGTGAAGGTTTTAGGGTGGGGGCAAGCTGGTTCACTCGGATCGGCCGATCTGCGTAAAAAAGAACTTGAGGCTCGGCTCAGGCTTACATCATCAACCCCCCCTGATCTGGTCTCGGTCTGGACTCTCCGCAACAAACTCCGCATTCCCGCCCCAACAAAATAAAAAAACAAGGAATGGATGAATCAAGTTGCAGGAGTTTCAGACTGTTTGCACATACTTTCAGGGCCAAGAAGATGCACTCCTTTCTGATGATACTTACTGGGTTGGAGAGTCATGAGGCGAGAATAAATATGTAGTTATGTTCCAGTCAGACATGACACATAGCCAGCCTGCGAAACGATTTTTGATTATCTCTTGAATCCTTGATGGACATGATTATCTAATGACATTTGACTTCATAAATTAAAGGGAAGTAACATTAAAACCTATCACTTGAGTGTTTTCTCATCACTCTTCCTGCCAAGCACTTTCTTTTCAGATTTTGGTCCAGCTCTTTGGAAGAAATGGGATTATGAATCTTTACAAGCATTGTCCGCATCTCTTCAAAAAAAGTGAGAAACAGATACAACAGAGAAAGTTGCATGAATAAACACATGATAAGTTCAAGTCAAGATACAGAAATCAAACCCCTACACAAAACTGTCCAACCACATACCTGTATAAGGGCATAAACCCCCATACCACATACTCATTTGAGTCCACCAAATCTTCATTTTTTGTCCTTAGCTCACCCTTGTAACCAGATAGCAAATTCTTTCCACCAAGGGGTATGTGTTTATAGAGTCTTGACTGTAGAGAGTAATATAAGAATGATCCTTCCAAGATTCTCAAATACAGAGTCAAGATAAACTTCTCAAAGATTATCTCATAATTTTTGTTGATGGTTTTATGACTTGGATTTGAATCTAAATTAACAAAGATTTTCACTCCTACTTAAGGGGTGGTAAGATTATACTGGGCTCAGGAGGACGGAATTGCACCTTCTGCCTGGCCAGCCAGTTATTCCCAGCCCTTGTCTGAGTTTTTGCATGTTTTTTTGGCTGCAGTGCAACTGCATACAAAAAACCTGGCTTAACTTAAGAATCCCTTGATGGTACACCCTACAGAAATCCTGGTTCAATACTGTGCTGATCATGGCCCAAAGGAAAGACTAAGAAATCCTGGGCTGCAATCATTCAGATTTAGGTCTAGTACCAAAATGCCTTTCAAATCACATTGATAAGCTCCCTTAACCACACAATGAGATATTTGCACCATTGAAGGGGTATACAGGCAAAATGGATTGGCTGTAATGGAAAGAGCAACATATCAGGCACACAAAACCAATGGTCACTTCAACTTAGAGTTGAGAACTATCAATAGGTTCCTCCTTCACATGAGAGGGTCCTTGCAGAACAGAATCCACCCCTCCAAAAATTGAGGTCAACCTATTTCATGTTTAGAAGTGAGTAGCATTTTTATTATTACTATTCAGAGAGCATCAGTATGAACATCCAAGTCTGATCAATTCATAGTTTATCTTCACCACCTTTCTCTCTTTCTTTTCAGATAAATGGATCTTCCCCTTCCTATTGTGGAAATTCCTTGACTTATTACTGCTCATGTTTTGAATATAACTTCACCATCCCTCTGAACAGCTTATTGATTCTCTTACTCATACTCAAAAAAAAAAAAACAAGTCTAGTTCACGACTGAGTCATGTCCACTTTCTTCTATGGCTCTACATGACGGAACTAGACCATCCTCTGGACTGGGCTTCAACTCAAACTTTGGACATGATTCTTACTCTCACATAGTTCTGCAACCCCTGTAAGATCGAAACGAGCACGACGTGAAGTCAAAGTAGGCTCGATGTTTCCTGTCTGCCCAAACCAAATGGGTTTTTTTTTCCTCTACGTCACAGGCCTAGAGTATATGTGGGTTGAAGTGCTTGACAACATTCGGTGATCCTTTTTTTTTGACTGCGATCAGGGCTTACTGTTGAATGTATATCAAGTAAATACTTCATTTTAATGACAATCTATCAAGTTATCTGAGAGAGAAGATCCGAGGCCAAATGAGGATCGATGGCTTGAATTCATTTCATTACAACTGGGCTTTCTGAAGAGGACTTCGGGACTGATGGGAACATCGTGTACGATCTACTGATGGAGAGTCCAGAATGATTGATCACCAGTTGCATGAAACGGTTCAGACCGATCCTTCTTCAGTTTGTCTTGCCATCGTGCTCTTCTTGTGCTTTGACCCAGGTCTAAAAAAAAGTAAGAAAGGAAAATCAGATCAGAATCTGTTCAGAACCATAAGAATCCACAAGGAAGGAGAAAGAAAGAAACAAAAAGGCCGTGTATGTATTGACCTGTTCTCCGGCTTTACCAGCTTCCCAGTTTTGGTATCGTAAGTTAGTGTCAGACCTTCCTGCGATTTTCACCTTGTATTCTTCCTTCAAGGCTTTCTGAGTAGCCCGAGATGTGATCCCGAGGTACTTGTTAAAGCTGTTTTTATTAATGAAAAAAAAAAAAAAAAAAAAACAAGCGAAACGAGAAATCACGGTATACAAGTCAGTCTCAAAATAATCATTCGTCCCGAGAATGACAAAAGCAAGCCTGACTGAGCACTGCTCAAGACAAAAACGAAAGGACTGACCCGAAGTGTGCACGCCAGGAACTCATTTTAGATGGTGGTGTGAGGGCGGTGATCGAGAGTGGCTAGTTCAAGCTTGTGGTTGCTGTCAGAAGTTGTCTTCGATTGATGATGGTGATTCTCGATTGCCGATGTCGTTGTGGCTCGAGTCGACCCGCGGTATGATCCGAGGGGCATGTTCGGCTACAAGCATCCGGCTCCAGTAGTGCGCTATATGCTTATACTGGCGCATAGCCCCCCCACAGCACTCATGCAACAGGAGAAATCAACATCATGGTCCTTTTACATAGCAATCATAAAGCCAATGTTGCTACAGGAGTATATAAAGTTCCCAAACGATGCTACAAACATATCAAATCCAATTCAAACAATACAAACAAGGACCATCCAATCAAACAAGAAAGAAACCCATGAGCCACAGAGAGCATAAGATTAGTCAACATCTATGTCTTCCCTTAATTTGATTGAGCTCAGTGGTCATGTCCAACTCATGAGATGACTTTCTTCTTCTTTCTTAAATTCAAGGAAGCTGGGATTTGGTTTCTTATATAAGAAGCAGATGAGTGTCTCAGATACCTTTGTTGGTTGCTTAGTAGACTTTCTTAGCCTTCAGAATGGGAAAAATCAGGAAAAAAAAAATCAACTGTCAGCACAAGGTTTGAAGCATGAATTCAGCATGATTATCAACAAAGCCAAATATGGACCCTGATACTTCATTCTAGCTCTTTGAGATGGTCCTCAAACTTTCATTTATTTCCATTTGTACATTTGGAGGTAATAATTATCATCAAAACAATGATCCTTTTGAATCTATCAAGTCTGTTGCCCAATATAGAATCTTGAATTACAAAATTTTCAACAAAAAGAATGTTAGAATGGAAAACTGTTTTCAGACATGGATTTTTTCAACCTTCCCAAACCTTAGCATTCCATTCTTGTTGTGCATCCATCAAGTTGTGATTTTTGAGCAGCAATGCCAATGCATAGTCTGGTCAGAAGGATCTTCAGATCTCTCCATTTCCACCTTAGTTCTTGATGGTACTCTGATCAGCAGCTTTCAGGGTCCAACATCATTTCTGGGCCCAATTTTTCTGCACAATTCAGCTAGGAGTCAGAACTGGTGACTGCAATACAGGTGAAGTAGTTGAGATATTGTACCAAGCAGTTGGAATTTTTGTTGTGTGGGAGAAATCAAGGTTTGGAAAATATGTGCCACATCTACCCTCCTTTTTGTGAAAAGTACATCTTGTGAATTGAAAATACAAATCCAAGGAGCTTGTTGACATTTTAAGACTTGAGAAGGGAAGACTTTGAGGAATTTTTGGAAAAGGGCTCAAAAAATCCATGTAGAAATAATTCCAGTATGTAATCAAGATAGACATTTTGACTTATTCCCAATTCTCTAAACAATATCTCCTGGTGGTAATCTCCTTAGCATTAATGATTGATTTAGACTAATTTTGGACTGGTAAAAAATGGATTCTTCTTTCTCAAAAGTTTATGCTTTTGATGATTTTTCAAAAGAGTGGATGTTTGATCCTTAACCATTGTGAACTATTCTATATGAACATGGTTTTGAAAATTGATTTTGACTGATTTTTGGGTACTAGGAAAAAAATGGAATCTGCTTCCAAGCATACACTGTTGAAGCCTACAATCATGAATTATTTTGGGTATCACAGCCCTGTTGAGTTTTGCAGGAAACTGCACATTTGGGTAGACAATTCATGAATGGTTGACTCAACATACCTCTGAGATTCTGTTGAAATTTCACTCGAGCTCTCACCACTTTGACATGTCACTCGTTTCCACTCTTTTATTCATTGTCAATATTTTGTTTCTTATTCAATATGGTGCTCCCACACTTTGACCATGCTGTATCTAGACTACTTAAACTCTCTAGATGATAATGAAATTAAAATCTCATCGGTTCTTTATTATTATTTTGACCGTTCCTGAAAGGAGCACATTAGCCTTTCCTTCAGCCTGTCTAAGAGCACTTGAGCCCTCTCAGCAAATCATAAAAGATATTATTTTCTTGGCCTTTCCGCCTAAAATTCAACAGATTCCTCTTGTTGGAATCAAAACCCCAAAAACCAATTGGGTTTATGAATTTGCCAACCACACCAGGACATTTTTCCGCCAGGATTAGCTATATAAAATACGAAAACAATGTCTTCCCATTGGATGTGTAAGGACCTTTTTTTGAGGGGGGGAGGGGGCTGCGGTGTATGCTGATTCTGGTCGGGAACTAACTCAGCTAATGATTAGCTACTAATGGGTGCAGGTCCACAGGATCACCTTCAAATTGCTCCTCATTATTACATCATTCCCTCCAAAATAAAATGAAAAATGATTGAATTTTCAGGGTGGTTTCAAGTGGCACCCTTAGAGTCATGTGGTCATTCAGATCAAGATTCTGGGAAACTCCCATCTCTCATGATCCATTGAAAAAACATTATTCGAACTGGTAAGTGTATAATTTTGTTTTCATTGATCCTCCAAAAATTGATGACAAAGGTGTCAACCTGAACTATCCTACTTGTTTGCTGGGGTGGAGTGTATTTTTTTTGAATACATGGGAAAATAATACTAGCACAGAGAAAAATCAAGAACTGCTTTTCTATCAATTATCCTAGAATGTTGTCAAGTTAGCTAACTATCCATAGTGTTTAAATCTCAAGCTGAAATTTTGCAAGCTAGTCGCAAAATCTTCTACAACTAAGTTGTCTAGCAGTCGCAACATTGAATCGGAGAACATGAATCATGGAAGAATCTATAAGCCTAACCACAAAAACTTCTGTATCATTATGACATCGCCAGAAAAGTGTTTCTCTTTTGAAAACTGTTGAAACGAAGAGAAGGTTGTGAAGCTCGTGCGGGTAAATATCATCTACACGTTTATTCATTGCTTTTTTGCGGGTGAAAGAAATGCCTAAGAAAGTAAAATAAAAACTCGGGGCCATTTTGTCCTGATGGGCTTGTACTGCACACGAAAGAAATCATCGGATACCTTGAAGAGGGATCGCAAGAGTTAGGTTGATTTGTCAGTAAAGTTTCACAAAATTGGGAACTGGTAGACTTAACCAACCGAAATTCGGGCCGTTGGAATCGCATTTTTACTTCAATTCTTTGGTTTCCGAGTGTGATGACCCGAACACACTGTGCAAGAATTGCAACTGTTTTTCGATCCCAGCCTCAAATCCTGACCCTCCAAAATGTAGACCAAAATGATCACCGTTATGCTCGTAAACGTCGATTGAAACTTGGGAGTTCTCGGCTTTAAGACAATCCTCAGCAAAGCGCCGGGGGACTTTGCTGGGGATCAGACCATCGGCGTCATTTTTCGCCCAGGATACTAAGATTGGGCATTTGACTTCGGCGCCATTGCAACGCTGAGAAAGCACCTCGAATCCATACCGCGCCGCGATTTCATTGACCATCCTAGGACCTTTCCCGAATCCACAATTCCCCAGTTCAGGCAGAGCGCCCTCGTTTTCTCTTGAGTCCGAGCTTAACATCCGGAATCCATCCTCCGCCTCTGTTGAGTTCAGAATACCACCCCGACCAAACGCTGGCACTCGAAAACTCGTCTGTTTATTGAGAACCGGGAAGATTGACAATAAGAAATCTCCAAGCACCCAGTGTCCTATGCGCGCTAGGCCCAGAGGGTTGTGCCACATGTGATGTAGAAAGTTTGTTCGACCGTCGCACAAGGGGTCGAGGGCAATTACAGCGGAAATCGGTAGTTTGTCCGCTTGGGTTGCGAGCTTCGCAACATGTCCTCCAGAGTTACTCCAACCCCACAGAACAACTTTACTAGAAGGTATCTTCGGAGATAGAAATTGCGCATGGGTGTCTGGATCGGTGACGAAACGTATAACAGTTATATAGTCTTCCAGCTGAGTTACAGGGGAGACTAGCTGCCTTGGTTGGCCAGTTGAATCGCCAAGATGTCGAAAGTCAAACCTAATGGAAGAAAGGCAGGTTGAAACGGAAAAATGAGAGCCCATTCATCAAGATTAAAGTTTTATTATCATATGAGAGCCACGTAACGCACACCAGAACCGTGTAACCAGCAGCTGCAAACCGTGCCGCGATGTGCTTTGGATAACAAAAGAGCCCGATTAAAGCCAAGCACGAGGCGCAATAATCAGAAGAGCCATACCAGAAGGCACAATCAATTGAAAGTAATGAAAGCAATTTTCCCAGCAACATACCGGTAGTCCGGCGGACCTCGGGAGAGCTGTTACAAATCATGAATTCGGTTTTTTATGTTAGACAAATCAAGAGCTCCAGCTGAGTTCTTTGAGAGGAATCATTCTATTCAAAGGAATTGCTAGCATGGAACTGACCCAGACCATTTGCCATGATTATCACAGGCGAGGCTCCATCGGAGTAAGCTATAGCTTTTGGGATATAACTCCACATCACTATTCTCTCATTTCCCTCCACCCCTGCAGGGATGGAAAAGGTGTTACGAATGAAGGGCGCCATGGAAGGGTGGGAAGCGACGGGTTGAGATTTTTGACAGATCATTCTATGATAATAAGAATAAGAAATAAGAAATAGGTAGACGTGTCGCGGCTCAGGTGATGCTTAGGAGAGCGGTTCTGAAAAAAAAAGGCCCCGGTTGGATGAGAATTGAAGAAGAGAGACGCTATGCGTGCTTGAGAAGTGTATAAAGCACAAGAATCAGCTTGCTTGGAAAATTCAAGTTTACCTTAATCCCTGCGGACTGTTCGAGGTGAGGACTGCTGCTTTTGAATTGCGTTTCAGAGCTGCAGAAGCTGAGATGATTTTACACGGAAGCTGAGAGTACCCCCTCAAATGCCACAAAGCCGAATGCTAGGATGATTGTTGCGTAAAGTTAATTGAACCGTGTTTCTCATGCACTAGTACATAGAGGGACGGACCCGGAACAAGTTGTGACTCCAATAAATTCTACAAGTCAACAAACACTCAGCACTGGGAGGCCTCGCTTGAATTAATGAGTCTTGATTGTATGAGGCCGGGATCAAAACCCGCTAGGAAGAAATGTTGTTCATAAATGACTGATCCCCCGGCAAGTGATTTGAATTAAATTTGTTTTCTTCCTGGAGTTAGAGCGGTAGTCCTCATTTACGGGATTAGCCCTGATTATATAGCCACCCTTGAAGTGGCGGCTGCTGTCAGCCAGAGATAGTGAGATCTAGTGAGATACAACGCTTTCAAGGTTCTGATTCCAGATTGTCAGGCCTCATGGTTAGGCAAATGCACGCAAGTGAATCATGAATCGAGCCAGCAGCTGGCCGCCGGTGGGCCACTGGGCGCGTCCTGAGTCGATCCAGCCAAGATATAAACGAGTTACAGCCAATCCAGAAAAGGATGGCATCTTCTCCTCAACTGCACCAGCTCGCTTGTGCAGATCCATCCTATTCGTGATCTGGGTAAGGTTAAGTGCCCTGCTGGATTGAAGGAGAATAAGAGCTTCTAGCCCAAACCAAAACCTTACTGGCTCATGAACCGGTAGTATCTGCACACAAGCGAGCTGGTGCATTTGAGGAGGGGATGCCATCCTTTTCTGGATTGGCTGTATATTCAACTGTGAATTAAACAGCGGAATAAGATTGCGAAGACAAATCGTAGCACCATTAAAATTGCAGTCTAGGAACTACAGATATTTACATCTTCGATTTGACACACCGGAAGAGAGACCCGCGTAAATGTACAATCTGTCCCGTCACTGAATCAACGGCAGGCTGGCAGCCGGTATCAGCCGCTGTGTTCGGCCCCACCGATAAGACAGAGAGGGTTTGCAAGATAGCTAAAATGAAGAGGAAAAACAATATCCCGAAATGAACATGGATGAGGATTAGCAAAGTTTTCTTTCATTTGGATGTAAAAAACAAGAGTTTGGAATCCGGAGTTGACCCCAGGCTCATCCTGAAGTGGAGGCACCCCAGCATGCATTTTGAGAAAGAAACCTTGGTACAAACTTGTGTCATTTGCGTATTTTTTTTTTGCTGCAGCATTTGTTTATGGACTTACACAACCGTTGAATTTTTTCCGCAAGGCCGGGATGTTGGGCCGGTGTGGCACACCGGAGATGAGGCCGCACTTGACAGACGTACATAACTGTGGAGGCGTAAGAGGCGTACATATCACAATGCATCCAACATCCCTTTATCCGTACAAATGTGTATATGCGTTGCAGGCCTTGACACATGTGACCCTGGATCAGCTGTGATGGGGCTCTGAAGTGACATCCATCTTCTCACATGTCTTCAATGCCGACCAAAATTTGGACAGTCATCTAGTGTGATGGACCATTAAAACCAGGATGTACTGTATCCCTCCAACACCACTTTTACCTGTTGTGAAAAATGTCATTGGGAAGAGAATAGTACACACTGATTGACAAATTGGTCAATTCAGGGATCTGAAGGAGTGACTCAAATAGCATTCAACTTCCCCAGAGGGACATTGGATTCTGTCATCAAAGAGGATCTAGTAATTAAAGCACAAGATAAAAATCACTGTTTCATGTCAAAAATGATGGCCTAAAGTGTTTACTGGTAAGTCACACTCACCATCAACCTTGATAAAGCTAGGGTTTACTATTTACTCAACAATGTGCCAAGAAGAGTATGAGGAGCATCCATAAAAAATCCTATCAAAAATTTAAGAAAGGTTTTGAGATCATATTGAACATAAAATTTGATCATGGTACTCTTCATCTTCTGTGATTCCCAGTTTTGTGTTTCTTTCCAAAACAAACACTGTTGGAATACTCAAATTTTGTCGTTGTCATTTGTTTCTCTTCAATATTTGTATTGCTTATCTTACCGCTGTTATTTCCCCATACAACACATTCTTTGGTGCACACAAGATGCTATGGGCAAGTTGTGAACATGGGTTATTGAAGTAGGCTATATGATGAAATTTTACCGGACAGGACGAGAATTTTTGAGACAAGAAAAAATTTTAAGGGCAACAAAAAATGATTTTTTGTTGGAAAGACTCAATGGTCAGGAAAAGAGGGTGAGAGCCAATGATTTTCATTTGCTAGTAGAGCCTACGTGTTAAATAGACTACGTACAACAAGTTCAGTCTGTGGTTGAGAGAAATGAATAAAACAGATTAACATATGCTTGAAAAGATGACTGGAATAAATGTAGTTGATAAAGACTAGACCAGGGTTCGAAGACTACAAGGATTTCAGCACTAGACAACATAACAAGATATCACACAGAAACTATCAAAAAACAAAGTAAAAATCATGTAAATTATTTATCAAATCATATTGAATTTAACAGTGGGATAGATGAGTTTTTTAGGGATGAGAAGAAAAAGAGATGAAATTCCAACACTATACACCAAAACTGGTGAGATGGACAATTTCATTGTGGTTCATTGGACAGTATGGGTTAGAGCAGAGTTAATTGCAATGGAAAAGTGGTATTGAGCCCTTCAATTTTCATTAGATACAGAGAAATCTCTTCATCTGCTCAACCCCTCATTGCCCTAGAGACCCCACCTTCCTAGTCATATTATTTAACAGCACTTGTGATATTTACCTCTCATCTGTCGTAGAGAAAACTGGTGAAATCTATACTACATTAAGGCAACTATGGTGTCCAAAAATGCATATGCAAAGTTTTACTTAACAGTAGAAACTGCAATTTTGCCTGGGACCTGTCAATTTGAGCTTTAATTATTCTGGAAGGTCCCTGCAAAATCTTGCTTTATACTGTTATACTCAAAACTCCATATGCAGTTTTGAACACCATAAACAGCTCACATAAAAAAATGATTGATTTTAGCTTGCATAAAGAAATTATTAAATCAGATTTCAACGACTGAATATTAATTTCAGTGAGCTCAAGTTTGAGATATCTGAGATACATATGAATATGAATAGTTTTTTTGTTTTGTGTTTTGTTGCAACTATGACAGCAGATCCACAGCAGGACCAAACAATTTGACCAATCCAAAAATCAACCATTCAAAAAAACTCTATCTAATTTATTCAAGCAATCATTTGAAACACAAGTCTATGTATCTTCAAATCAGTCTTGTTGATTGGTGATTTAAGCATGGCATAGATTAGAGATATGCAACTTACTTGGGGCATCTTGAATTTGTGATAAACATGGTGGTTTTTAAAGTCAACTGTATGCATAGATTCACAAACGATAAAACCCCACAAATGATTTTGACCGGGATTATGCTATAAACAGGACCCATCCAATATGCACTTATGATTCCTATTCTTATGACTTTACGGATCAACTTTGAATACCCCCAAAGCTTTCAAACTTGTCTTTCCAATACAGACCAAATCCTCCCACCCACAGAGGTAATCTAAGGAGCCAAATAATATACAATTAGTCTAGATAAGAAGCTAAAAAATATAAAGTTTTGTTACCAGTTTCAAATACTGAGACTTTGATTTTCTTGCACCTCCCAACTCTACAAGTCAAGATTCTTGAGAACATTTGATTAGGAGAGCTAGTATGTCCCAGATGATTTCCCCAGCACTCTCAAGCCATTCAAGCCATGGTCTGCAACACAAACCCATAAATGCTCCCATCTCCACACCCTCCCTCAAGAACATGCATGTCCCCTACATAGTTCATCCACTAAACTGAAACCCACTGGGCAGCTCATGATCCTGGTAAAACAAAAGCACATAACTGGAAAACAGTTCTTGGACCAAGTGATCAGATCCAAACTCAGATCGTCTGGGGTTTTGGTTATCTAGACTTCTCCAAGTAACTTTTGGAACCCTAAGAATGACTGTTTGAACGTGTTTTTGTACACAAGATTGCTCACAGTCCATGATTTCTACTTATAGGTTTTCTTTTTGTTGATGTGCAGTGGGTGCTATTGCTTGTCTCTTTGCATGAGACATTAGAGCAAAAGTTAGTTAAGTTTGATGCACCTTAAATACACAATGGATGTCACTCTTTTTGAGCAATTTGATGATATGCATTAATCATGTTCCAGAGGATCAAACAATATATCTTCATCTTCCAAAATGACCATGATCAGGGACAATCCCACAAAGATAGCCATACCAAAAAGTCTTAGTTTTTCCAGATCAAGTGATGAAAAGAAGAACAAAGTGCTGGAAAAATCCCGGGGACATCCGGCAGAATGGCATTGGTCAAGTCACTGTCAGGGAGCCCATCACTGGAACAGATTGCAGCTACAATCTCTAAAGGAGGAGGGGCGGGCGGGGGGCAGGACAGACCAGACCAGAGTGTCTCCAGTCGGAGCCGGAGTGTACACTCGCAGCGCGACGTGATCGGAAACGCATATGCATACATGTAACATAGCCGATCGACGACTGTGCGTGTGGGCCGGCATGGCCATCCGGACGCTGTGATTTGGAAACAAGCACGGATGGATATCCGTGTTTTAATCTTCGTAAATATGTGAACCGTGATGACTCCCAGAAGAAGTGGAGGCATGTACATATGCATACTGAAATATAGGCTCCGGGAGAGAGATTTTCGCCCAGCCAAATCATTGTAAAACTTGTGTCTCTCAAACTCACAAGCTTGTTGGCTTGGATATCGATAACCTTAGATACATAACTGGCGCAGACAGGGAGATTAACAGTTTTTTTGGATACATACCATCAAAGTTCTGCATGTTAAGGTAACAGTGAAAAAGCTTTGTTTGTGGATCTTTCCAAACCTTTTCCTTGCCAGATTCCCACTTACATTATCATACGTGAGCTTACGTGACCTATAAGACACACAAGGGCTCAAGATGAGGGTTTTTTTGGCAGGTAGGTTTTTGCATTATGCGTACACTCAAGGTATGTCACACAGGGGTCAAGAAAAGCACTTTTGGGCTATGTATTTTTCATTGCTCTCGAGATTCGATAAGATTAAAGATTGATGGAAATCATGAAAAGGTCCACTTATGATCGTGCCATGAGACTCCTGAAGTTCCTTTGAAAACTTAGGTTTGCGCTGAACTCCTGAGGGAGAAACAACAAGGCCTGCCAATCACATGAATTGTCAACAAGGTTGTTGTTACATGTTTATGAACTACAACAACAGCAGAAAATAGCCAGCAAGTACAGATAAAGAGCTAGAGAAAGACATATGAGACATGCGTTGATTGTACATACAACATACAAATTATCCCTGCAAAAAGTGCAAAAAAAAACTTTTGGAAACACATACTAAGGATGGAGAGAAGCTGGTTATGTAGATGAAATCGGGTTCAGGGGTGGTTAAATGAACTTATGAACAGAGCAAATCGAATTTACAGAGGCTTTTTGTTACTTGAACTAAACTTGGACCAAATCCCTCATAGGTCGGCCACCAAGTAACCTGCACTGTGATTTTTCGCACGTGAATGTGTGATCAATGATTATCGACCAAAGACTTTCTTTGGGCTAAAGAAATCATTGTTGGGTTGCCACAAGGAATGAGTGAGATGTTAGAATCAAGAAGCGAGGTTGGGCAATGCCAAACAGCTACGAAAAGACTCAACTTGGCTAGAGATAATAACCCTATCAGAGCGACGATCGGAGAAATCGACAAGACCCAAATCGACCATTTCGAAGATACCATGACCACCCCTGATACATAAGAAGCAACCCCACAAAATCCAGCAAGCCACAGCGCAAGATCAGTTCCTCATCTTCGTGTGCGCCTTGGACGTGATCTAGCTGTAGACTCACAATCTGCTTTCGTAACCGTCAAGACGGTGATAGTCATCAGAAAGATCAACAGATACCCTGAAGCTCTGAAAAAAGTGGATCAATCGATTCAGTTTCTAAGTCTTGAATGATTCATTGCTCAGGAAAAAAAAGAAAAAGAAAAGAAAAACACATGACTAACCTGTGAAATTTCCATAATTTCCGACCAAATGAGTCTCCCAAGATATAATCACGACTGGTTTCGAAGCCGATCAACATCCCGAATAGGGCCTGGACGAGCACGATGCAAGTTGAAATGAAGCCTAAAAGTCCGTGCCAGGAGGTAAAGTGGGCAGCTAAAAGGAGAGCGAACAAGTTTTAGCTTGCGATTCAGTATTCTCGAGCGAAAGTGATTTTTTTTTTTTTTTTTGGTAATCATCTCAAATCTGTTTTGTTGTGGGTATTGTCACTCACCTGAATGAGACATTTTGTTGTAAAATATGCAGCTGGCTCCAATGATGATTGATAGACTTCCCACAAGTTGGAACCCTTCATGAACCAAGAGGCCTGTCCTTTTAGAAGCGGGTGTATCGGTAGGTTGTAAGATGATTATACCTGGATTCATTCCAATTAACAAATTAGCAACCAAGTGTAAATAGCTTGGAACAAAGGTTTGATTATCCGACTTTTTTTGTTTGTTTGTTTGATTAAGCCTTGCTTACCTTGATAGAAGCAGAAGAGCGAGAGCGATTGGAAGAGTGGATGGAATGTGAATATTCCGGCTTGGTGAGTGAGCACAGTGACCCATACGGTGAGGAGCCAAATCCAAATCGCGAGCTTCAAGGTTTGCACACAAGCCAATCAAGTTTCAATTTCCACATCAACTAGGGGGGGGGGGGACTATAAGAGAGCTATTTACCTCGGCAACCCAGACCATGCCCGTTCTGTGGGTCGGAAGCCGATGGGCCTCGAGAAGACTGGCGATCGAATACTTGGGACGTTGATCGGTCGAAGGCATGATGGCCGCATCCTGGCTAGCGGCAGTTGGCCCGGTTGATGGTTGCTCGGCTTGGTTGGCAAGTAGGGGTGTTTCCTCCTCTGGTGGGAACTGGTTGGCTCGAGTCTCTTCTGCCATTTTGGTTTGTTTTCTTTGTGCTTCTCCTTTGGATATACTCTGAGCAGGAAGATGAGGATGGTCAACTGGAGAAGAGCTTGAACAATCCAGTGCTGCTGAGGAATGTTTTTGGTTGGTTGGATGGGTTGTGAGGGTGCTCCATGAAAAAACAAAACCAACTCAGATATAGGGTGATGGAGGAGGGGTCAGCTGATTGTCGTACATAAGCCAGTTCGATCGACCCGGCTGTCAGTTGTGATCGCAACCCGCTGTGCAGTCAATCAGTCCGATGACATCATCCCTCCCTCGGACTCCCACGCTGTCCCCGTCCGAAATTGTGGGGGTGTAGTCATGGCAACTGCCGGAACACTCATTGTCGGGCCAGTCTGCTTCTGCGATAACAAGGTTGGGGAAATGGCAGGACCCCGGAAAGCCCCAACCAAGCCGCCTAATGTAAAATGTAGCAAAACAGATTTTTTTTCTGAAATGTCCCTAATGTAAATCCGCAAAAAGGTAGCAAAAACAAAAAAAAAGCAGCACATGATCCTTCTGTATGTGGTAGCAATTTGTCCACCAGTTGTAGTTTATGCATGAAATGATTAGAGATTTTTCACAAGGATGAAAAAAAATTGAATTTTATGCATGATAGGAAAATTTATTGATTTTTTTTTCAAAAATAACCAAAAGGACCCTGATGTCGGAGGTAGCAAAACATGCATCTGCCCCCCAAAACCAGATATTCCTAGGTAGCAAAAACCCAGAATTCGCAGGTTTTACATTAGGTGGCTTGGTAGGGGCTCTCCGGGGTCCTGAAATGGCCTGCCGGTTCATGAGTGGGGGCTTTTATGCCTCCATTTATTTAGTCCCAAACTTTACATTAAGGCATGGTCCCGGGGTTCGGGACGGGGTTAGAAGCCCATCCCGAGGGACGAACCCCGGGGTTCAGGGTTCAAACCCCGTAACCCCGGGGTTTCAATCACTATTTTCTTTTTTCTTGTTGCCGACTCGGCAGATCCCTTGCAATACCCCAGGATAAAGCGTAAACAGCGGGCAAAGATTCCGGACCACGAGGTTATCGATGTGGACAAGATCGAAGACGATGAAAGTCAAATTATCTTGGCCTCCAAGATAAGCTTGAACACAACAGCCTCAAGTGGTGGCAGGAAGAGATTCCGACCGAGCAACTCGGATGTGTGGACCGAGAAGGTTGCATCGTTGGAGTGTGTTTGTACACCGGGTCCACATTAGTACATGTGTCATGTGACCATCAGCCCATGGCACACCAACCGGCCTCGACGGGTGGAGGACCGAGACGCTGAGCCCTTAGAAGTAAAGAAAGGGGCAGGAAGCCGAGCCTTGCCAATGTCTCGTGCCAGCAATTCTCTCTGAAGCCAACCACGATTGAGGCCCGAGGGCCTCTTTTATCTCAAAAACTGGTTCCACACCTTCGACGGCCCATTTTGATCCTGTTTCTTTCTCTTATTCCTTTTCTTTCTGTTCTCATGATTCTCACCCAATAAAATGTAGCTCTAAGTAGCTGAAAATATCATGTAATACAAGATCAAGGCCAGCAGAAATTGAAAAAAAAAACTTTTGCTCCCTAACTTATCAAAACCCCGGGGTTCCGGGGTTTTGCAAAAGCTCATCCCGAGTCCTGAACCCCGGGGTTTGGATCCGGGCAAAACCCTGAACCCCGTGTGTCGGGGTCATGCCTTACTTTACATGCGGTTGGCTGCACCTTCAACAGTCAACATCAAATCCACAACAAGATCACATAGAAGAGGAGATACTATCAAGGGTGCAAGAAACCTAGACATAATATTAGGAAAACGGTCGGGATTCACTAAAAGGCAAGAGTTCCCTCCCATGAAATGTCACATGATGTTTTTAGTCATATCGATAAGTTCATCATGAGTCGATGCGAGAAATTCCAGGGAAGGAAGTGAGTTTAACACAGACTAGCAGCTGCTCAGTCACGATGCCCTCAAATAGGAGAATGAGAGGATCAAATAATTTGATTTTTTTTTTCTGAAAGAAAATATAAAAAACAGACGGACCAGTCAAGAAATTACAACCAAATTTCCCTTCCCACATGAGTGAAAAAATACAATAAAAAAACTCAGCGGACATTCGGGGGATTGAGTATCACCCCCCCCCCCACCAGCATTACTTATGATTCATTCACAATTTTCTTTTTCTCAAGCCCACCAAAGTCAATTCTAGAATGACGTCATCAGTCGTAAGTGAATAAATACACGACCTATTCGCTCCTATGCAGCCGCTACAAGCAAAGTTATAACTTCATGTCATTAAACTGAGTATCCACATCGATCAGGTCATGTTGAGATATCAAAATCTTCCAATCCAGTTGAGCGGCCATTTTTGATCAGATTGATAACATTATCTCTGGCAGACTTAACGACGTCGTTCAATCCGACGCCAGAATAGCCTGAGCCGACGAGGGAGAGATTGAAAGGTGCGAGTTGATGATGGAGTTCAGACATCCTTCGATGGTGGCCCACGAGATATTGAGGGATACAATCCTTCTGTATCTGAGCTTGGGCGGAGAATGGCTCCTGGACGATCCCCAGTTGGTCTTTGATCGTCTGACAGGCTTGTTTGATCAGCTCGTCGTTTGTCGGGATCGAGTCGGGTTGCTTGGAATAGTAATGGCCGCCCATCATCACCGTCAACTTCGTCAACTCTTCCCCTCCGATTTCCTCCTCAACTCCCGGCATCATGTCGCTGTCAAAGACTACTCCTAGCACTCGATGGGGGTTCAGCTCTCGCCCAATGCTGGCCGGGATCAGGTAGCCAAACGCCGGTGGGATAGGGTTGAGCCGGCGAGGGGATCGGTAAGCTAGGTTCACCACTCCGACAGTCACACTCGGGTTGGTGGTCAACACTTCCAATCGGCTCTGAAGCGTTGGTCCCAGGCAGGAGTGTAAGACTTGAGGTGGAAGGGCGGAGATCAGATGATCGATTTGTCCATAGACTCCAAGAGACGAGGTAACCTACCAAACCCATTTGATATCGCGTTAATATTAATTTGAGAGGCTCGGCTCATCCAAACACGCATCAAAGATGAATGTAGACTCACTGTGGAAGGGCCATCAGGAGATGGCATCACCGACTCGATGCTCTCTGACGACTTGAGAATCACATTCGGTTTCTTTTCAAGCCAATCTCTCAAAGAGGTTACCAGCGTTTCGAGACCGCCCTTGAGGCCCCAGACACTGCAATCCACTAGATCTTGAAGAGAATGATCGTTGAGAGATTTACGAAGTGTTTCTTCTTCATGATTTGTATCGATCGGAGCTCGTTTTTTCTGACTGGCCCTCAATCCGTTCAAGACACCGCCATATTTCCTTTCGAGTTCCCAGACCGATTTGAACAGACTACTCCTAACGCTGAGCGTCTTGTAATCCCCAGCGTAGATGCCATGAACCATGCCGGAAATTAGTTCCTCTCCGATCCCATCGCCAAACCTTCTGGAAATAAATTCGGAAATGCTTTCGTCATCGATCGGGCGTGTTCTTGATGTTTCGGTTGTGTGGAATATGTCTTTGAGTAGCGATCCTGGTATCAACGAGATCGGACGTTTGTGGATCGATCTTAGCAACGAAAGCATCGACGAGGGTAGCTTCTGTAGTCCATTTTTCGTGTATATGTAGCGGTTCTGAGCCGACTATGTGTGTGCATAAGAAGCAAAATATTAATCAACAAACTAAGTCCATGATTTCAAGGAAAATGAAAAAAATAAAAAAGAATCAAAATTCACTCAAACTGGATGGGTTTTAGGTATAATAATCACTGAATCGAGCAGCTTCAAGTCCTTGATCTGTTATTTCAACACTCAAATGATCATCAGCCTTCTGTTATTTTTTCATTTATTTGTTCGACATAAGAGATTCGATGCAAGCGAGAAAGAGAGATGAAAAAACAGAAGACCGACCAATTCGATAGAGATCAACCCGGCCAAGCCCTTTGGCCTGACGCTTCTAGGCCCAGACTCGAAGACCAACGGAGTCCGGTTGTTCTGATCGTCGACCCTCGACCTCTGGACCCAGCCGCCAAACCTGTGGGCCTTTTCCCAGACGATAATCTGATTGGATTCTGGGAGTTGCTTGGACAAGTAATACGCCGACGTCAGGCCGGCTAGTCCGCCTCCTAGGATCCCGATTCGACTGCCCTCATTGATCACATGTGTGGATGCTGGTGCGCTGGAGTATCGATGTTGATATTTGTATCGCTTGATGAATTTTGCGGAGAGCCTTTGTGGTTTCTTGCAAAGTAGAGTCATCGTCTCACCCACTGCTTTAATCGAGGCCGGCCCGACCTGCACAGCCACAGACTTCTTCGACCGGTTGTGACACTTCTGACCCCAAACCAAGGTGACACCTTGCCCTCCTCTGCTGGAGCTTGCAGGATACAAGTCCCACAAGATTGCCAGTCATGTTGCCTACTAATTACTAGACATAGTCAGTCCCAAGCATCATTGTGAAAATTCTCCTCAATCTCAAGAAGAGATTCCTTCAGCTTATAGGATGTTGGCTGGCGGGCATTTTCCTGGCTTCTTTGAGCCTAAGCCGAGTCCGAAAATACCATGACAAGCCTCATGAGATGAATTGGAGCAATGGCAATCATCAATCGAAAGAAGGGCCAACACTCTGTAGCTCCCCTTTTTTGCCAAGGATTTCTGTCTGGGGCTTCTGTTGTAGTATGATGTCGTTACAAGGTTAATGGAACCTTGGCAGGGTTATGTATCACCAACTTTTAGTAAGGGTTTGGAGTTTGACAAATTTCACTTTGAATTTACTATCTGAAGATGAAATAATATTTGAAGATCAAACTGCTTTGATAATGGAATGGAATCATTTTTCTTTTCTTTTCTTGTAGAGAGTGTGGTGTAGCTGTATAAGGCAATTAGGGAAATGATCACAGAATGAAGGAAGGAAAATCAGTAAAGTAATAAAAAAAAAACTGCTGGCTACTCAAATTAACAAATAGTGATCATTTTGACAAGTTGTAATATGGACCAACAGTATAAATCAATGCCAACATGAGGATTATGAGTGGTTTGGACATTAAGAGCCTGGATTTATTTGTAAATATGGAGAGTAATAAAAGGAGATATATCATTATCAAAAGCTCACAAACTGCCCAAATTATGTATGGGAAGTGAAGATTAGTCAATTGACATCATCCAGCAGTTTTCATCTGATCTCACTTTCAAGCCATAAGTAGCGGAGATCATCTCCTTTGATATGCAAGAATATTTTGGCTACATTTTCATCTTCCAAAGCCTTGAATGATTTGATTATGTCTTCCATCTCCAGGCTTTTGACATGAGGCAGCTTGAGGTATGCTGCCTTTGCCATGGCCACATAGTTTGATTGGCCATCTGAAGAATTATTGGCCTTCTCCTTTGTTTTGGTGGAATAATCAGATAATTGGGCAACAAGATCTTGGTAATCCCGCCCTAAACCTTGAGAATTTGTTGCCTTGTTTGGTTCAATTTTTGGTTTATTATCCAAAATATTGGCTTGATTGATTGTTGATTTTTTACCTAGATCTGTAGGTTTGGAAGCTTGTTTTTGTACTGCTTTGGATGATCCAACTTCATCATTTATTTCCTTTTTCTTTTGACCTTCATCATCTAAATGTTGGTTTTGTACTGCTTTGGATGATCCAACTTCATCATTTATTTCCTTTTGATTTTCCCCTTCAAGCGGTTGGGATTCATTGGGGGATTCTGGTATTGAGAATCTGACTTTGTATTTTCCCTTTTCTTGTCTTGTGAATCTTCTATCCTTGTTGGATTCATCATTTTTACTTCCTTTATTCTTCTTTTCAACTATAACTCCTTCTGTTTTCTCAGGATTATTCTTTGGTGATTTGACATTATGCTTTTCTTCAATGATGGTTTCAAACTCTCGAAATAAATAATTCCACAGCTCTATTGAACTAGGATGAATCTAGATGAAATTGAGCACAACTCTTGACATCAGTTTTGATTTTTATCCATTCAAATGAATAAAAACATGGGACTGTTTATTCACCCCATGTGCATCTTCTGGATGTTTGTTCAATTGATTCCACCAATTTAAAGCAGAAGATAATGGCTCTTTAATCATTCTGTAAGGATTTGTTAACATCTGAAATTCCATCATATAAAATCAACCAAATGATAAAAAATCTGTGATATCCTTCGCAAGAGCTTACATCAAACCTTGAGGAGGAAGATCTTGAATCAACCTGGTGTGCATTCAAACCAGCTGATATCTTCCTAGCAGCCAACATATGATCTTTCAATTTCAATTGTTCTTCAAAGAAATTTTCACTTCCCAAATCCTTCATGGTATTGGTGGACTTGATGAGCTTTTCCTTGGTTGAGATGGCCAATTTTTCCTGTTATGATTTTACAAAGAAATTGTACTTTGAACATTTTCCATATTTCTCAGTGTACACCAATCCTGGGTTCATTGCTCACCTGATCTGTGGATATTTGTGTCTTCTTATCACTTTGTACCTGATGGTTTTCCTGTAGTGTATGGGCCACTTTGTCTTTACTCTTCAAATCACTTTTGGTATTCTCTGCATGTTCTTCCTATTTTGAACCATATGGTAAAAATTCAAATTGAGGAAAACACACATGTAATTATATAATACTCACCTGAGATGTAGATTGATTGATCTCCTTGTTCATTTGAGCCTTGGGAATTCTTGCAGTTGGATTCAAAACTAAAGAATCCCTTTCTACTTGTTCTTGATTATTAATATGACTACCTTTCTTTTCTTCCACCTGTCTCACAGCAATATTTCAAAAATTCAATTGTTTGGTATTCACAGAAGCATAACATGAATAAATTCACAGGGAACTTACCTGAGGCTTCAAAGCAGTAGTCTTTAATTGATTGGTTTCAACTCCTGGTTTTTCTACATGTGATTTTGGTTCTGAAGAAACACTTCCATCATCCAATCCTTTTTTTGAACCATTTTTTCCTTCCTCCTGTTGGAGACAAGATGAAGTGGGTCCTTCATCCTGTGTAAAAAAATGTTGTGAGATTCATTTTACTTTGTTCCCTTGAATTTTTACAGTCAAATGGTTTCCATACAACACAACTCACTCTCAATTCAGAGCACCCCATTGTGGGATTTGTTTGTGCTGCAGAATGATTTCCTTTATCCTCTTTTGAAGCTGATGAACTATCTTTTACATTCAAGCTGTTTTGAACTGTTCTTTCTTCTTTTTGAACTTTTTCACCAAGTGAAGTGGGAGAGCTATCACTGGTGTTTCTTGCTTTAAGCTTTGTTTAGATTTTTGAGATCAGAATTGGAAATAAGAATGTAGAGTCTAGAGATGAGAGGTATGATATGTTTTATCTTTAAAGCACTTACATTGAGCTTTGATCTGATCATTTTTTCATCAATTCTGAGCCCTGAGGAGCCTTTAAGTGATTTTTGATGGTCTGAAAGAGAGAGATCTGCATGCAGAAAAGTTTCTGATTGTGGCTCAATTTCAAAACCTCTGGATTTGGGCTGAAGACTGGAATCTCCTGTATTATGTTGCAATGTGCTTGTTTCTGCATTTTTGTAGAGTGATGGAATGTTCTGGGCTTGAGATTGGGAAATTTCTGTGGCACCTTTGAATGAATTGGGAGGACTTCCTTCAGCACAATTAGCCTTACTTTGCAAAGATTTCTCAGCATTTGTGCCTGTAAATAATTCATCCCTACACTTGAGTCCCATAAAGTCATTATTGGCAGGTGGGACTCTATCATGCAATTGTGAGTAGGCAGGGCTGTCAGAAAAGAGAAAATTGCATGGTTAGATTGGAAATGCATCAAAAAAAATTCCTCCAAGGTTCAATGACATACATCAAACTTCTTTGCCTCTGCCTTTCCTCTTTGTGTGACCTCTTTGTTTTGGGAACACGGTATTCTACTTTTATTTGTGAAATCTTCCTAGAAGGTACCTCGCTCAACCTCCCCATAAAGTATGAAGGTTTCTCAGGTAATTTACTCTGAGGCAAGCGGTTCACCTCAACAAGACCAATCAATTCTGTTTGAGCGTCTAGTAGCTCCCCATCCTGGAATACATATCCATGGCAATTTGTGTGAAATGGATTGTTAATGGATATTCTCCCATTCTCTACAGAAAATGTGAATTTGGCCAGCTTTCCATCACCTGATATCTCCAAAGTCTTTTCCATATTCAAGTTGATTTTGGATGGTTCATGAAGGCTGAATTTTTCCCTTGGGAGGGGAATCTCATAGGAAAAAATTGCATAGTCAGGAGGGCAAGGGTATGAAACTGGGGAGCGGAATCCACCTTGAGTGAGTGATACTATGGAAAGAAAGGTGATTAAGGTAGCCCCTTTCATCTGAATAAGTGAAAAAATTAGTTTCTGAATGATTTCATCAGCTGAATCTAAGCTAAAGCAGAAAGGTCCTGACAGCCACTATGTGGGCTTTAGGAAGAGTGTCACTGGTAACACAGAGAAGGGATCATGTTTTTAAGGGGAGTAAAATCTTGACTTACTTTTCCAATTTCTGAAATATTGTGTTAAATTTCTGATACTTTATCCTGTGGGTTGCAAGATGAGCAAAAGTAACAGAAGTATTTATAGTTGGGAAACCAGGGATTTTTTTGAACATTGAAATTCTTGAAAAATGATAAAGTTGCTGGCCAATGGAGGAATATTTTGTATTTATAATTTCTTTCCTTTTGATTCATGTACTGAAATTGTATTGTTTTGCTCTTTGTATTTAAATACAGCCAATCCCAAACAACATTCTACACATTCCAGAGAGCCTGTACAGACTTTATTTCTTTTTTGTATTTCTACCGGCTAACCAAGTTTCACTGAGGCAAAATATTCTTTCTTTGCTATCCTTGGGAATCACACATGTCACAAACCCAAAGATAATATGATTTCAATCATTCAACTCTGATGTCATAGTATGACTTTCCATCAAGATCTGAGGAAATTCAAGTACTGATTTAAGGAAGAAAGTTCTAGATTTACCCTCAAGAAATGCAGGTCTGAAGGAGGCAAGAGAAAAATAGGTATGTGGTCTGACTGTTGGTTTAGTTTTATTCTGCAATAATGATTGGCTTTAATGCATAGAAACAATTCAATCAAATGGCCAAATAGTTTGAGTAGAAAATCAGACCAAAGATGCTGAAGTTCCAGGCAGTTTATTTGCCATGAATGATGTAAATAAATGAGTTTATACTGGGAGGAAGTATTGATCAGGGGTGATGTTGACTTGAAAATGTGTGGTTATGTTTCCCCTGAGATTTTCTGACCTGTTTAAAGTGTCATGGTCAATCAATTTGAGATATCCCTACTCCTTTTTGGAAAGAGGGGGAAATCATTTTTGTGAGAATATCTAGTCCTACCAAGGTTTTGAACCTAGTGAATTGAATCTGAAATATTTAATTAAATACATTCTAAACTCAAGTTTGCTAAAAAAAACTGGCCTTGAAGACAGTTGATTTTAGTAGCATGTTTGTTGTAGTGAGTACACTGTTCTGTCTCACAAGCTAGCCAGCTGCCTTTTAGCCCCTTTTGAGGGCTCTCAACCATCTTGTTTTCCAATGAGCTTTCCCTCATGGTGTTCTTTTCTCTGGTCCTTCCCTCATCCTCTCCAGCCAAAAATCCAGAGTTTTTTCACTGAGGCTTGCATACCTGACCCTTAGAGACTCTGATGAGCAGAACCTTCCATTAAATAACACCATAAACCAAAGGGGCCATCAAGCCCAATAAGGCCTTGCTTGATGGCCAGAACCTTATAACAGCAAATAACATCCAAAATTATTTCATCAAAAACCAACACTGCATAAACTAACTCGTCGGACAAGCCAGTCCGACGAGTCTTTGGACAGACTTTGTCCGACGAGTTCAGCAGCCCAGTGGTGGCGCACAACAGGACTCGTCGGGCAACGTCAGTCCGAGCACTCATCGGACTGGCTTGTCCGATGAGTGAATTTGTGCAGTGCAAAGGGGCCATCAAGCCCAATTATGCCTTATTTGATGACAATTGTGCCCCAGATCTTATAGAAGGTCAAGTTTCTCCGCCTCACTACTTTTTTGTTGAAATTTTGTCTCTTTTCTTCTCATTCCTAAAAAACTCATCTACAGTTGCGCGCGGCAAATTACTGTACAAAACCGACTTGGCTGCATGGGGCAAGGCCGGGGGCGGGTCGGGGGACCAAACCTCCAGATGATGATATTTTTGGAGGTTTAGACTGTGTAGATTCTAAATCCAAAGTGGCGACCAAATTGGTCCAGCCAGTTTTTTTTTTTTTTTTTTTTTTTGGCCAGCAATCCGGACACATGCCCTCAGGCCGGACTTTCCCAGGCGCCAAGGGAAGCCGGATCCTCCCAAAAAGTCTTGACCATCCGGACACGACTTGTACAGTAATTTGCCGCGCGCAACTGTATTCAACCTTGTAATTTTAATGATGTCTAGATGAAATAGTATTAGTTTTACTATGTTTTGTAAGTGTCTGAGTGGCATATTTTTCTCTTGTCTAGTGCTGAAATCCCTGTAGTCTTCGAACCTGGGTCCAGTCTTTATCAATGATTTTTTGCTCCTGTCATCTTTTCATGCATATGTTTAAAATTACTATTCATTTTTATATTCATTTTTTCTCACCCACATGTTTAACCTCTTGTACGTAGACTACTTAACACCTGGTCTCTTCCATCATTGGTTCTTTCCTTCCTTTTCCGACCTTTGAGCTGTTCCAACAAATTTGTTTTGTTGCCCAAACATTCTCTTAAAAAAATTTTCTCCACACCTTCGGCCATAATTTCTTCATTTCTCCTGTAGACGGTGACTACCATTAATCAAACCAAAGAACAGCAAAACATAGTGAATTTTTGTTAATTCAGGGTAAAATGAGATCTGTGAATGGGGATGAAGGAACATTTTTGATGTGTTAATATAGAACTGAAGATATTTAGCGAAGGAGGATCAATCCTTGGCAATTTCCTGCCTCCTTGTATCTGGTAATTTGACTGGACCTCCTCCATGACCTTTGAAATCTCCAAAAATCCCCCTTTTTACCATGGGTTGCTGGCATAGTGGAAATCTCACTTCACTCCAAGAGCCCACCTACCAAGTTAAATTAGTCCCCAGTTCGACTCACGTTGCGAAAACTTGTGCATTCCCCCGCCACCATGTCGATCCTCCGCGCGTGGTTCGCCTTCACCCTCTTGATGTGTTTCATGGTGACCACCATGTCCGCCTCCTATACCGCGGTGTGTGCAGCCTGCGGCACACCAGCAACCATCGAGTGTAGGGAAGCAACACTTGGAGAGTACATCACCTACGACCACATCAGAACGTGTCTGCAGGCCGGCGGCCAATGCCAACAAAGAATATATTTCCATACTCTAAACTGCGCTAATTGTGGCAAGACCAGCTGGGTGACCGGAAAGCGGTGCCCTCACCACGATCACCCTAAATCACTACCTGTCAATTCAAATGGCGAGCTCTGAACTTCCCATTGGATAATAAAAGGGGTAACGGCACCCACCCATACCCCTCGCGTGGAAAACTCTTTTTCTTCCCTTGAAAACGAGTATCAACCTATTTTTGATCTTCTCATGTTTTATAACACTAAAACGATGGGGGAGGGGGTCGAAGTTGGGAAGCGCAGACGGCCGTTCCGGTGCAGCAAATAACGTCGCATAATTTTTCAAGACTTCTCAAGTTTGTGAATCGAGTTTACCATAACTCATGATAGAAATTGACAGAATGGTTTAAGCAACAACTTGGATGAGGGTGCAACAAGGGGTCCCTACATAATCCCTGGGGCTATCCTCTGGGTTTTCTTGCCTTGTGAGGCAATGCCTATGCCAGCGTTTGAATGGGACGTTTTGACATTTCTAGTGCCGAGTCCACGTTCCAATAGGTTCCAATCCGTTTCAATGTGAACTTGACAACTCAGGTGAGCTCAGGTGCCTGTCGTAGCCTGGAATGCAAGCTAGCGAAACCCAGCCACTGATACTTTAGGGTATGTAAATGCAGAGGGGTTGTCACCGCGCCCTCCTTCCCTCTCAGTCAACTCAGTCCTCCTCAGTCACACTTTTGCGATAACTTTTCTCAGTACTTCTGTCATTTATCCCCTCTTTAACTGTTACTTCGACCACAATCGTTTCCTTACGCCATTCAACCACCCGACAAGCTCATTCAAGACAAAAGCCATCTTATCAACTGGTGAAGCAACAAGAAATCCGACAGAATGAACATGCCATATTTCAACTTGATAGGCTGTTTCAGCCTGCTTTCAATTATCCAAATTGGATTGGTAGCAGGTCAATCGTACCTTGACCAGAGTACCCCATTATAGTGAGCATCCTATCTTTGACATTCGCATTTGGTTTACAATTAATAAACTGAATTCAACTTGCACACTTAAAAACTAGTGTTACGAGTCCGGCATGCGCAAGTTATAAATGCGAGGTGGTGCGACAACCTGGTGACGCGCTTCACATCAATTGGTTAAACGTAAACTTGTTCATCTTTCCTCGTCCCCAGGATGAATACCTTGTGCTCACCGAGTAGACACGATGGAAACTAACTCGAGCCCTTTTTTTCTCATTTGATGCACCATTAGGCACCGTTTGGCGATGTTAAGTTAGTATTGGCGAGTGAGACCAATGGGAAGTCGTATACAATCGCCGAAAGGATCGCAGGAACCCAACGCGACTGCTATCATGGAGACACTGGACACCGACCATGCGGCCAATATACCAAGATTGTTCCAGCCAATTGGACTTCAGGGAAATGTAAATTGAAACTCTTCAATATTTTTCCAGCAAAAATCACGGATAATGATTCAAATACTAACGACACATTTTATTTTTGATTCCGAAGACTCAGTTCAGGTCATATCTCTATCCAATCCTGATAAAATCGGATATACAGACATAGTCACAATCACCAAGTCGCGTCACATGGCTAGAAACCGGACAAGTCTGATTTTGTAATTTCCCCATCGTCAGACTTCTGACTTCTTGTCAGACATCGCTCTAATGTTTAAGTACAATTAACTTTGTGAAGTATGCGTCTTCTATGGACTCCTTTTCCGTTAATTTTAATCCCAGACCATTGTGTCCCCGAATTTTTGCTCACAATTACAAGAGCTCGGGGAAAAATAACAGCTGGAACAAAGCATTGGATAACAATTAACATGGCATTGACATGATCAATGAAAATCAAACGGATTCTTGTGGAAACCTCATTTTTTTGTCATTAACCGTCTCATCTTAGCGGCCAAAAAGAACATGGCAGCCTGCCGAAGGGCAATTTGACCAGAAAAGTCTACCGAGTTTGTGATCTTATTCAAGTTCTGTACTTTGAGTGGATGGACGAGGCCGAATAAGTCCCGACTTGAAAGGAGTGACGCGCCCATTGGCATAAGCGCGTTTTTTCTAGAAGTACTAGATCCACACGCCGACTGCTATTTCACCTCCAGCAGGAATCCTGCAACGATGACTTGATTTAATGGCTTACAGTCAGCAAACCAGTTTGCAGCATTCGAGTGACAGAACATGCAATCCACAATTCTGTGAAATTCTTATTTTTCTTAAAAAAACAACGAAGAGCTGATTTGGTGATCACTATGTCATCAGTCATGAATCAATAGATTGTTATTTGGTGGAGGGTGAGGGTGGCTATATAAATGGATTCTTTCTCTTTGTCATCTGAAGCTACCGAAGATACTAAGGATCACTTCGCTTTTGATGAGCTGATCCACTTATCGCTCGGACTTCGCCTGGATCGCCGACTTCAGACTTGAGTTCATGTGAAACACTACGGGCTATACATGTTATTAGAACAGGATTCTCAAATCATAGGAGTCTTTAACACCGAGCCATCTTTGGCTAGTGAAAGTCAGACATAGACCTTAACGACAGCGGCTTCGCCCATAAGTTATGTATCACAACCCATTAGATTCGCTTGTTCAAAAATCTCAATGAGGCTGTTGGGCGAAGTAGGAGTCAGGACCATTAGATTCACGTTGTCTGAAGCCAAATTCATATGGACTTGAATATGTAGTCCGTTGTTAGTTGATCGGCTCAACTGACATCCTACACTCCCCCCAAGTTGATGCGATGGCTCTGAAGGTTTCTTCGCCATGGAAAATATGAAAACATTGCACTGGAGCAAAGGAGCTTTGTTTCTACAAAAGTTAATTACAAACCGACATGGCTGATAGGCTCTATGAATAATTGAGTCCTACAGAAATTGATTAAAAATTGACATGACAGTGCTCGTTCCACAGTCTGGTAAGAACGAAGCCATGTTTTTTGAGAGGTTCCGTAAAATCGTACAGTTTTTTCTCAACACCTGCCGGCGAGTTTCGAGTGCAAAGGCATAACCCTCACAATCAGCCAACAGTTCTTTTTATGAAGTTTTTCACCAGTTATGAGGCGACAAAGATCGAAGCATCAATACGTGTGATTGATGATGTGATCTCAATCAGGGAAGTTCAGAAGATATGCAATTGGGAAGCGCTTCAAGTTGCCTGGCTCCCTGCACAGTATCAACAAATGAAAAACCCAAGCTTTCATCAAGCAGGCTCTTCTGGCATCTTATCAACCTTCAACTTCATGAGGCTATCTGATGGTATTGCAGGAACATGATGACCCTCTGATCTATGTAGACGAATGGAACAGAGGCTGATGGCTATCACTTTGTCATTTTTTTTTCCTCGTTCAAGCTTCCTGAAAATAGATAAATAGAAAAAAAAGAAAAGAAGTCCATCGCAAGAACACCAACGATGACATACTCCAGCTCTCGGAGATCGACTGGTTCATGGACTGAGCTGCTGGTGTAAAAAGTCAGCCGCCGCTTAGGTTTGGCTAATTTTCCAGAGCGGATCTACAAACTCTTTCACTTCTATTAGCTTCTTAATTTGAGGTTTATTTCTTGGACCAAAACTTTCAAAGATCGAATTTCCTACTGAATTCGTCCAGGCGCTTGATTGAGAGGTTTTGAAGGCCATCAAACCACCAATCATTTGTCTCTCTCTTTTTTTCCCCCTCCCCCCCCCCCCCCCTGCTTCAGTGCTTCTTCCGTCTCTGTCTTGGAATTGTTCGCCCTTTGGTTATCCTACAAGCTGTGTAGCTTCGATCCAGAATGCTCCAGTGTTTTTAAAAAAAAATCCAAGAAGCTATGATAGTCTGGAAACAGAAAAAAAAATCACTTTAACCGAGCACCAACTTTATAGATGAATGCAGCGGGATCTCAACTGATTTTACCAGTGCTGAATCCACAACGGGGTAAAGAGTGCAGTCTACCAGAATCCAGCCTTCCCAAGGTCTTGTGTGGGTTTGGTGAAGATTTGGATGAGAAAGGTGAAGCTCCCCCAAAAGTGTTTCTCATCTCTCATTTTTTTTTTTTTTGAAAAATCTCATCCTCTATCATCATAACTCTCAATACTTATTTATATGACCCGGTCCACATTTTTTTCCGTCTAACCGCATCTCTTCATCAGCTCTATCACGGTTTTTCGCTCCTACTACTTTCCAGACCTCTCCAAGAATAATATCTGCTCGTCAAAACGCCGGAGAGAAAAGAAGCGCGCGAATCTCCGGGGCTGGCCGAGTAGATCATTCACAGTTAAAGAAATAAAATAAACAACATACTACTCAGTCTAACCTGGTTCGCAAATAGAGATAGATTTGACTGCGCCCATGGATTTAAATGAGATAGACTATGACTTGGGTTTGTTTCTGGCATCTGCGCCGGGCATGGTTCCCGAGGCATCGACTTGCCAAATCCAATCCAGCAGTGCAGAAGATCTGGCCCCTAAGCGGGAGGTCAAAGGAGCTCGAAGGGTGCGTAATGCCTGTCTTCAATGTAGAGAACGAAAAATACGCTGCTCACGGACTTACCCGTGTAAGATATTCTTAGTTCCTTTCTTATAACCATGAACACGTTTACTGTTGTACTTATTAACTTGCTTGTTATCAGGCAAAGGATGTGTCTCCCGAGGGGATGGCGCTGCATGTGATTGGCAAGGCGGCTTTCCGACGTGAGTGTTTTCTTGATGTAACTTCGCACTCACAATAGCGGATCGTGAGAGGCTTCTCTGTTCTCAAGTCTAAAACAAATCTTTCTTTGCCTCTTCCCGATAATAATGATCTTCTGACAGTGGAAACATACCGATTTACCAGAAACATGCGGCAGACCAACGACGTGAAATTGAAAGGTTGAAAGACAGGTTAACAAGTGCGAAAGCTTGTCTAGGTTCAGCATTGCAGAATAACCCGAACTTCAAGCTCGAAGTGAGTATACAAGAATGACTTTATAAGTTAAGATTCATGGGATATTGATGTTCAATTTATCTTCGTTCCTCAGGTTGGCCATCATCAAACGAGGCCGGCGTTTATCCTTCCAACAACTCCAAGAGAAGAGTCCCTGTCATGGTTTTCAACTGGATCGAACGATCAGCCACCTGGATCGGCATTGAGTAACATCAGTAGCTTCAGTGCGAACACGGTCGATTCTTCTCAAGGCTGGTCGCATGACGAAGCCACATCACCCACGAGCGCGACCCTCCAAACGACGATTTGGAAAGAGCGCAACCCATCGCGCTTGTTTGAGATGCGACATAAGACAACGGGATATCGTCCATTGAGTCTACTGCGCGAAGAAGACGAGCTGGCTGTCCAGGGTTCTCGGCCGTATACCGCCTCGCATCCAGTTCTGAGGAGACATACGAGTTCTGATAAGCCATTAGCCTCAGTAAAACCTCCAATTCATTCAGGTTGGAGCTCAGATTTTCTCGACTCGATTGTGCCGCGCGGGAGGATTCCTGATGCGGCATACGAGATATCGAATTCAAAGGCTTGCCAAGAAGCCGTCACACCCGAGGGCAACTCCAGTTATCATAGCACCAGCGACCTCCAAGAGGGCATGCCGGCTGTCCATCGAATCCATTTCCCTACTTCACTCCCACCGAATCGACCCAATTGGCAATACAGTGCACCCAAGGATGGGCGGGCTGTCCATAATCATGAGGGCCAAAGTGGAAACCCAGCCAAAGTCGAATCCCAATCACCTATTACACCTAGCAGACACAATTTGGGCTTCAGTCTCCCTTATATCTCCTCACTCAGAGCAGATGAAACCTTGCCAGGTGGAGTTAGAAACACGTGCCAACAACACTACTTACCACAGCGACAATATCTCGGTGGACAGGATGTCGAGCCTGTTACTAGGCCTACTATGTTGAACACCCGTGATATTCCGTGGAGTAGTGACGGCCATTCTCCAAATCTGGAGCAACGAATCCAATCCAATGTAGCTGTGGGCTTAGTCAACATGGGCGAGCAGTATAGTTTGTTGCCATCGACATTCGGCATAGGTGAGTCAAGCAACCTTCAAACCCGCCGTACTAGAGCTTTGTGACTACTGACTGCGATAAAAATAGTGATTTGATTGACGTTGGTTTTATTTTATTTTATTTTGCGATCTCCATGCTTGATGAAAAATAGCTCCCACGACGGGTTCTTCTTCCCAGCTGCCCACGTACAACCCAAACAACGCAACAAATTGGCCTCCAGTGCCACGATAATCTGGAATGGATATGTAAAATCCCAGCCTAAATATGTACAAGATGATCCGTTTCTTTGAAATCCTTCTGATTTTATACTGGGGAGTCTTCCTCTAGATGAGTTTTGTAATCTTCAGCCAGGCCAGCGCACAGGCCCATTAGAGTTCCAAGTAGTAGTCGTTGCGGAGAGATTGTGGGTCGTAATCGATCTGGGAATCGGTCTTCAAATCAATGATCTTGCTTTCGCTCCAGTTTAGTGGGAAACAGCTAAGGGAAAAAAGACGAGGCACGTACAAAAAAGGGAAGCACCGAGAGCTATATTGAGTCCACTGAGAGCGCCTGCAAGTGACTTCCGACGCTCGATCGCAGGGACGAGAGTGAAGGCTTCCTTTAGGGTGCAGAATCCAGCGGTCCAAGCCCCGAGCTTGGCTCCGGTTCTCAAGCCGCCCTTGAATCCTCCGAGAATCACTTTATAATTCTTCGTCTTTTGGAAGAAGAACCAGTTGGCGCGTGTTTGAGGGAGCCGATGGAGATTCTCGACCATGAATTGGTAAGCAGCTAGTTTGCCCCGAGGTGGTCGCTCCGGACGCGAAACCAATCATCATTGCACACGAGGTGGGTATCACGATCTCTTGGTATGATAGAGATGGTATCTGAACTAGACTTGAGGATGCCGTCATGTTGGATAGGATGGGAGTGTGTTGTGGTGGTGGTGTCTTGGAGTCTGGCAAGGCTGGTCCCCAAAGCTCTAGGCTGCTGCGGAACTCCATGCATATTCAACATGGCTGTTCAAGAAGCTGGCCAAAAATTGTACAAAGCGTGTATGTTATAGTCCAAGATGGACAAGCAAGTCCCCAAACAGAATGAAGGCACGTGTACCTTGGGAGTGTTGAAAGTCTTCTTCTATTTTCCTATGAAACATGCTTTCCAAGATCAAATGAAGAAATCAGAAAACAGAAAGGAAGGAAGAAAAAATAAGTGGTTTCAGGGTTTCAGCGCATCACATCTGAGGCTCTGAGCTTTGAGGCAAATTTAATGACATCTACATATAACTAAAGGAATAGCCTCAGAGGCCCAAACAAACTGCCATGCAATCTAACGCCGGCGTTGACCTCCAATTCACATTTGTTGGATTTGTCAACCCCGGGATTAGACCGAGGCAGACAGGTGTCCAACTCAAGAAAAGGTCATCGAGTAATCACCCGATTAACAAAAATGGGGCGAATATACCAACCAAACCTCCCCAAAAATGGGGGCATGTACTTGTTTATCATTAAAATTTTACAAATTTGTCAAAAATCTCAAATTCATCCAAACCTGATGATTCATGAGATTTGACAAAAAATCCATGAAACTTGATCCACAAATGTGCTAAAAACTGCCTTGAACTTCAGATGTGAACCAGCCTATTACAAGGACTGCTTCACACCAGACCATCAGCATCCCATTGACCCACCACCACAAGCCCATTCTTTCACACTCATCAACCAGCAAATATCCAGTACATGATCAGTTACAGTCTACAGCATCTGCAGTACCAAAAAAAAATCTCTTGCAGTTAAATAAAAAAAAACAGACA